AGATCTCACTCTAGACTGATCACAACTGTGACACCCCAACAGATCTCACTCTAGGGTGATCACAACTGTGACATCCCTACTGATCTCACTCACGGGTGACCACAACTGTGGCACCCCAACAGATCTCGCTCTAGGGTGATCACAACTGTGACATCCCTACAGATCTCACTCAAGGGTGATCACAACTGTGACACCCTTACAGATCTCACTCTAGGATGATCATAACTGTGACACCCCAACAGATCTCACTCTAGTGTGATCACAACTGTAGCACCCCAACAGATCTCACTCTAGGGTGATCACGACTGTGACATCCCAACTGATCTCACTCTAGGGTGATCACAACTGTGACATTCAAACAGATATCACTCAAGGGTGATCACAACTGTGGCACCCCAACAGATCTCACTCAAGGGTGATCACAACTGTGACACCCCAACTGATCTCACTCAAGGGTGATCACAACTGTGGCTCCCCAACAGATCTTACTGAAGGGTGATCACAACTGTGACACCCCAACAGATCTCACTCTAGGGTGATCACAACTGTGACACCCCAACAGATCTCACTCTAGGGTGATCACAACTGCGATACCCTTACAGATCTCACTCAAGGGTGATCACAACTGCGACACCCCAACAGATCTCACTCAAGGGTGATCACAACTGCAACATCCCTACAGATCTCACTCAAGGGTGATCACAACTGTGGCACCCCAACAGATCTCACTCTAGGGTGATCACAACTGTTACACCACTATAGATCTCACTCTAGGGTGATCACAACTGTGACACCCAAACAGATCTCACTCTAGGGTGATCACAACTGTGACATCCCTACAGATCTCACTCAAGGGTGATCACAATTGTAATACCACTATAGATCTCACTCTAGGGTGATCACAACTGTGAAACCACTAGAGATCTCACTCTAGGGTGATCACAACTGTGACACCCCAACAGATCTCATTCTAGGGTGATCACAACTGTGACATCCCTACAGATCTCACTCAAGGGTGATCACAACTGTGACATCCCAACAGATCTCACTCAAGGGTGATCACAACTGTGACACCCTTACAGATCTAACTCAAGGGTGATCACAACTGTGACACCCCAACAGATCTCTCTCAAGGGTGATCACAACTGTGACACCCCAACAGATCTCTCTCAAGGGTGATCACAACTATGACATCCCAACAGATCTCACTCAAGGGTGATCACAACTGTGACACCCTTACAGATCTCACTCAAGGGTGATCACAACTGTGACACCCCAACAGATCTCACTCAAGGGTGATCACAACTGTGACACCCCAACAGATCTCTCTCAAGGGTGATCACAACTGCGACACCCCAACAGATCTCACTCAAGGGTGATCACAACTGTGGCACCCCAACAGATCTCACTCAAGGGTGATCACAACTGTGGCACCCCAACAGATCTCACTCAAGGGTGATCACAACTGTGACATCCCAACAGATCTCACTCAAGGGTGATCACAACTGTGACATCCCAACAGATCTCTCTCTAGGGTGATCACAACTGTGACATCTATCAAATATCACCAGTGTTGGAAAATGAATAGGGGAAACCCAAAGGGTAATATACTAACAAAACACATAAACTATCAATTTGTTTTATTTTCTATAAATAATATGTAATAGTAAGTACATCGCCAAGATCACAAGCATGACAGGCAATCACAGGCAGTTCCACATCCTACTCAGCACTCTACCATGACAGTGACAGACAGCACAAGTGATGTGCACAGCATCAGCAACAAGTTTCAGGTTTAAAATGTCAACATGGAAACTACTGTACAAAACTGGTACATATCACTGTATAAGTCTTATCTTGCTAAGCTATACACAAAATGTCAGCACAGTCTGTTTCAAATGAAGCCATGATCTGATCAGAACATTCAATGTTGATATCACATCCCAACATTTCATGCTTAAGTAATGTTTATTCAATTGGACAATTTGGGAACTTTAATAATTTTGAGATATTTTCCTGTGTAACAAAACGGTTTATACAGAACATGGATTATGACTAGATGGGTTAAACATTATGAAAAAGGCATGTACATTTTCTGTGTTACAACCCTCTCAACTCTCAAACTGTCGTTCACATCAGTTACAGAGGGGCCCCATCCACAAAGTGATCTTAGCATGAAGACTTTCACTGACTGACTGACTACTTTAAATTCTGTTTGGGGGGTAAGAAGGAGGGAGGGAATGGAAAGAAAAAAGAAAGAGAGGAGAAAGACGGAGAGTGATGGGTGGGGTCTGATTGATGATCCCGAAACTGCAAGATAATCTGGAGTGAGTGAGTGAGTGAGTGAGAGGGTGAGTGAATATGGTTTTACGCCGCTTTTAGCAATATTCCAGGAATATCACGGCGGGGGACATCAGAAATGGGCTTCACACATTGTACCCATGTGGGGAATTGAACCCGGGTCTTCGGTGTGACGAGCATTATCGGTGGTTCAAGAAGGGAGCTAACTCCGTTTGCCTAATCAAAAGTTCGAGGTGGGCCCACATTCAAAACTAAACGCACTTGTTGTTGAGAATATGTACAATGTAAACAAACCCGCATTACGAACTGCTATTCTGTCTATTTAAAATAAGTGTTATGACTTATAACTGGATTAGAATGTACAAATGCGATGACAATACAGCAGAACTCACTTCTACGAACATCGCCAAACTAGGTCGTGGGCTCATTAATATATACATGAGTTATTCCTTTTATGGAACAAGTTCTCGGAAAAGTTTGAGGAAAATGTCCGAGATCAATTCAAGTGTAGACAAATTTTCAGGCTTATATCGCCACCAAAACTTATGATTAGATTGATGTGTTATACTGGAAAAAGTAAAATGAGTGGTATTGTAAATTTAATTTGAAGTAGATCTAAGTTCTTGCTTTGTAACTATTTTTGCAAAACTAGTGTGGTCAGCTTTGATGATGTTATTCAAACTTCAAAGACTTTGTGTGCCTTTCGTGGAATTAATAATCTATAAGATATTTCCCATCAATATTACAAAATGAGAATAATATATAATGTCACATACCCATGCAAAGTAATGACAAATGTGAGCCCACTAGCCTAAATGACTTCGTCAACCCAATGAAGCCCAGCGATTTGCAAATGTGGGCCCACCTGTTTCAATCACTATAAGACATGAACAATGTGGGCCCACATTTGAGAAAATGATTATCAATATTTAAGTAGAACTTCATGATTAACAAATGTGGTCCCTCCTGTTGCAATCAATATGACGGAAGAACGTCTGCCCACATTTAGGAATTGATTATCAGAACTAATTTAAACAACCTAACGAAGCTAGGCGATATACAAATGTGGGCCTACTTGTTTCTATTACCATATATGATGGGAACAATGTGGGCCCACATTTTAGAAAATGGTTATCAGCACTAAACCAATCTAAGAAGATGTACGGATGATAACATAAATATAGAATGCATTTAAACATTAATTAAGAATACGTTTTACCTTAGGGATAAGCTGGGCATTTAATACCTGGACCAACAACGTACAGTGTGACTGACGCCATTTCTCGCAAATATGAAACCAACGGAGATAGCTCCCGTTTGAAATTAGAGTGACCTCCCTTTTCCAATATGAACCACTAATAATGCGGTTTCGCCAAAGCTTTGACCACAAGGCTACCCCACCGCCCCTACATATCTAGACACGCTGGACGTTTAGAGAAAAAACCTGGCCCCCTACTTCACCCAGCATGAAGGGTTTAAGGGACAGTCGTGTGCACTGTGTGGAACGAGGCCAAGATCACTGTATTCAACAAAGGAGGCCACACATACAATCTGGAACAGGTGTTATTTACGAGAGTGAGTGAGGGAGTTTCAGGCCAATTGAACAATATTCCAAGGCGTGTCAGCTTAATGTGGGAGGAAAGCCCGAAGTGATGCAGGTCTCAGACGTTTACCACTTCGGTGAAACCCACAAGCATGGATATGGTGCCCACAAACCTAGGACCAACCTTGGGGAGAACCCGGATTCAAACACACAACAATAAGCTTCTGGCATGCCCAAGGGACACAACTCTGCACATTGAATTACGCAACCTTAGACGACCGGGCCCCCTGTGGAACCCATGCCCCACGTCAATTACATGAAGTATGGTATCTGTACCATTATCGTTGGATCATAGGTTTTTGGACATCATATGTTTTCGGACGGCCATGTTTATTGCGATTACTCGAGCTATAACGAGGGTTGTAACATCGCACAGACATTGTATATACTCAGATGATGGCTTGTTTTCAAGAGAAAATTGTTTTTTATAAGTGATGGAGATGTTTTACAGTTGTTCATGTGATTAGAGAGAAAACTATGAATGTTTCTTAAGCATACAAAAACCCAAAACAAGGGGGATACATCTGGTAGTCTTCAGTGGTAAATCCACTGCCTGTTTCAGTTCCATAGATGTGTTTCTTTTAGATTAATAATTTGTAAAACAAGCTCCTCACATTCCACTCTAACCTTGCACAAGGTAATAACAAATCACAGACACACTTCTCAGTGTACACATCGATTGACTAACATTTCACAAAAATATTACATTTACCCATGTTAATGACAACAATAATAAAACATAGAACTTTATGGATAACAACTTCTAGTTTTTATTGAGAAAAAACTTACCGTTAAAAAAACATACAACCTTTTGGATAACAATTTCTTTTCTTTTTTTTAATTTAGCGACATTTCTATGTATCACTTGATAATGGTGTAAGAATCTACATCGAAACGAGAAGTTGTTATCCGTAAAGTTGTATGCTTTCTTATTTACAGGTCAACTTCTACATTGCCAGTCAAACAGTCAAACAATTCAAGAATAACAACATTATGATGAGTGAATGAGTTGGGTTTAATGCCACTTTGAACAGAATCAGTTATGTCACGGTGTCAGTTGTTGTTTTTTGACAAAATTCACATGCTTTTTTTTTAAAATTTAAATTTTAGCTGATGCATAAATATATTCGCTTCAGGGTAATTTCTACAATGTATAAAAGTAACAATCAGTTGGTAGAAGAAGTATTAGAGAATGGTGTTAAAATGAGGTTATAATGGTTATGGAACAAAACAAACTAATATAATGCCGTATCTCCTGATCTATAGTGGATGTAACACTAGCCACACGTCATACATACTGGGATGAATAATCCTTCTCAGAACATTTAGCTTACTTGTGAAGAATATGCTCCTCCAAAAAAGTGGACCACCCAATTCTGTCATATTACCATAGCTAATGTGTCTTGGCAGTGGTATAGGATGAGGTGTGATGATGGCCCTATTTGGCCAACAAGATCTCCATAATTAAAGAAATGAAAACATTTTGAAATTGTTAAGAAAGACGTTTTCAACTTAAAAAAAAGAAGTGAAATAGATAACTCTGCACAGCAAAGCACACTGCCACAGAAGACTGGCCACCAATGCCCTTTACTTCACACAGACAAAGCACACTGCCACAGAAGACTGGCCACCAATGCCCTTTACTTCACACAGACAAAGCACACTGCCACAGAAGACTGGCCACCAATGCCCTTTACTTCACACAGACAAAGCACACTGCCACAGAAGACTGGCCACCAATGCCCTTTACTTCACACAGACAAAGCACACTGCCACAGAAGACTGGCCACCAATGCCCTTTACTTCACACAGACAAAGCACACTGCCACAGAAGACTGGCCACCAATGCCCTTTACTTCACACAGACAAATCATACCTCAGTACAACTTGTGTTTCCAATGTGTTATATTCAACACACAACACACAACACACACACACACACACACACACACCATTTACATACCATAGAATAAAAAGAAAATTAGAAAAATGTGATTTATTGTCAAGACCAACCTTATTCATTGTACAGTTAAGCCTATACAAAGTTATGCAAAAGGTAAAAGAAGATTGAAAATAAACAAAAATGGTTTTTGATTGAAAATATACTTTTTAAATCATATTTGTGTTTCTATTTGTAAAAAGTGTTACTTCAAGATAATTTTAGCAACTTGATCTAAGATTGACCTGTATCTGTTCAGTTTTCCTACATATTGGCCAAGTCAGTCTAAAAACAAGGAACCATTGGTCCTGACTTCATCGCAACAAACACACAATGTATACTCTTCAAGTTTTGATAGGGATGTTCATGTTCTGAAAAATTCCAACATGATACCAAAACTTATCACCAATAATCTAAAAGATTATGGCACCAACAGGCTTCCATTTCCCAGTATCCGTCTCAGAAGCCAAGGAGTACATTTGAATTACAAAACATTCACACAATACAAAAGCAGGTTCCCTTTTTCCACAATGATCCATGTAGTAAATACAAAATAACTTTAGTACAGATTCATTCATAAAATTTGTCATTCATGAGATCACACTGAAATTATATCTCAGATCTTAGCCACATATAAATGTGGGGCAAATATACAAATAAGATGCATTCCTGTATCAAAATTATTAAGATCTTGATATGAATGAAATATGAATACCATTCACATATCATAAGCAATAATCATCTAGCAAACTGATATGAATGAGGTATAACAATACTTTTGGCAAGAAAAATAAATCAAAGATCAAGTTGTCACAGTGATGAAAGTCTCAGCTAGATTATGAAATATTCTGTTTCCTAGGACTGCCAATGCCTGGATATGTATTTATTGATACATATATTGATAATTTACAGAAAGATATAATGAAATATTGGCATACTGGTTACACACCATGGAAAAAGTGTGTCGAGTAAGTGAGTGAGTTGGTTTTATACTGAATTAAACATTATTTTAGGTACATCACTGCAGATCACTGGCAAACCAGTGGCTATTACAAGTTATGTTCCTTCTGTGTCCCTCCTATTGACCAATCAGATTCTACCTCTCATACCACTTGCATTTGCTTCAAACACAATGGCTGTGCCCAGTCAGGGCGATCAGATCGATAATCAAGATATATGTTGTCATAAAACGGGTTTCATCTCATCACAAAGGTGTGAACACTGTATCCCTGTGATGTGTAGGCTGATGAGGTAGTTTTATGTAATATTTGATGGTCTAGCCAAGGCTTTATGATAGACATAATCATTTTGGAGATAATTTTTGTTATTTCTTGTAGTGATCATGTTTATAACAGCCTATTTTTTGGTATCTTTTTTAGTTCATCACTTATGACTTAAAAAAGGGATGATAAAAGCAATCTGCTGTTGCATCATTAATTTCATTGTTAATACTTCTTACACTCAGACATAATCTCCAACTTTGAAAGGCAACATAAATGAACCATTAATAATACAAAAATGACAAACTCCACACAATTTAAACTTATATCTTGAACATAAAGCAAAACCTCTTTCTCAAAATCAACCTCTCCTCAAAATCTAGCAAACAATACCAAAATGAAAACACAATGACAAAACAGCATCATCAACAAAATTGTACATTGTGAGAGAGACAACCACATAAATTAAGAAATTTTGATCATTATTTTGGGGACTGGTCATTTTCATAGGATGGGGAGGGGTGGGGGTATGTACAAAATTTCCGTGTATTTGGGATGGTGGTGGTTTTATCATAAAATGTGACCTATTAAAAGGGGAGGGTCAGCCAAATATGATACAGTCCTAAGACCAATCTTTGTCCCCAGGAACCCCTAACCCCACCCCATAAGAAATGTCCCTGACTTGAAACAGACATATTTTGATTTGGTAACAAACAATAGTTGCAAAATATCACTTTGATATTAATAACATGTAAGAAATACTCAAAGTCTCTCCAAAGATCTTCACGACTTTGTATCTTGATATTTACAAAATATCCCTTTGATTTAATAACATGTAAGAAATACTTAAAGTCTCTCCAAAGATCTTCACAACTTCGTTTCTTCATATTTACAAAATATCACTTTGATATTATTAACATGTAAGAAATACTCAAAGTCTCTCCAAAGATCTTCACAATTTTGTTTCTCTGGGGAACATGACAGTTTGAGATTGAACCACGACAATCAGCTGGCAACAGGAACTTACTTTGTTCAGCACACTAACACATAATGATGCAAGCTACGGTGTGATTGGTCGATCATCGCTGTCGTTATCGACCGCAAACACATCCATCTTTGGAAAAAACAAAAAAGAAACAAAATAGGACACCAAGGACAGCCACAAGACGAATGGAAATGACAGTCATAGGTATAGGATAAGGAAGATTTTCTTCAAAAGCAGCTGATATTATTAAGAAAACTCAATAAGTAACCATATTTGTCATTATCTTCCATTACATATTGCTGGGGAAATTACTTCTTTTCCAGATCACCCCCAGACAAATGTTAATATCCAATCTGCATTGTACTATGGGCCTTGATGTCTAAATTACTGAATAAACTGTCTGTCTGTCAAAAAATGCTGAAAAAAATTATAATTTTTTAAATTTACTGATATTAATCATGTACTTTGACATACTATATCTCTGATTTTTATAAGAGCATTTATACTTTGAAACCTTTTCAAGAGATTTTTTCCAAATAATATCAGTGGAACACAGTAATACAATATATTCTGAATATTATGCCCAATAGGCTGTAATATGATATGTTTTTTCAAAATATTTGTTGACTTGTTACTTATTACTGTGTGGGCATCTATGAGCAACAAGCCATTTGATTGGCTGTTTCATTATCATTTAAGCCAATCAAATAAAAAGGTGAATAAGAACCAAACTTAATGATAAACCATATGTGTTGCCTGCTTTCGAAACATATTTCAATGGTCAGCTGAAAATTTGATCATTTACCATTTTTTTTCATGCTTATAACATTATATATATTTTAGCAATTTGCTAAATTAACATAAGCACATCACAAATACAACTGTTTCTTGCACAAAAAAAGAACTTGTCCAATCTCTAATGGACACAGGGATAATTCAAGGATTAGAAGGATTTGTAAGCAATATATATCAGGAATGATAATGACAAAATAAGCAATCAGTTTAAGAAATTAAGTAACTTATATTACTCTATTCTTGATAGGGACATCTCTCCATGACACACACACAAATTATTCTCATAATATGTCAAGTATATTTAAATACAATGAAATGTCTGAATTATCCCTATCAAAAATTGAGTAGCATATATCACAACCACAGCCAAGAAACAACACCATGAAATGACACCCAAAACCACAGAGAGAAGACATGCAAGTCCATTTATGTAGAATCAACAAATCTAAAGAATATTTTTTTTTACATCCTCGGGTGTGAAGCCAAGCTCCTTACAGTGGTAGCCCACCTGTGGAGCTCCCCATGTTATCAGAAACTGGTTCCACTGTTGGAGTGAGTGAGTGAGAATGGTTTTACGCCACTTTTAGCAATATTCCAGCAATATAACGGCGGGGGACACCAGAAATGGGCTTCACACATTGTACCTATGTCGGGAATCGAACCCGGGTCTTCTGTGTGACGAGCGAATGCTTTAACCACTAGGCTACCCGACCGCCCCTCCACTGTTGGAAGGCAATGCAAGCTTACCGCTATTTGCCATATGTGTATGTGTGGCGTTCTGATCACCAGTTATTTTTTGACTCACGTGTCACCTCTAAAATTTGTTTTGAGCGAAAATAATTACAACAAACTGCTCGGCTAATGTTAACTTTTTTGAGAGCACTTCTCAAACAAACTTCACAAATCCACTATTCATTTTCATTCCATACCGAGAAGCAATGAATGCTATGTCTAGAGTTGTTGAATTGCATCCAGCAATCGGCTGCCACCTGTCTCCAAGTTACAGAAGACAGGAGCCCAGTCAATATACTACCACTGCCTCTGGTGAGAGCTCCCCACTGTGTTAGACCGTAACCATGCATAGAGTTGAACTCGCAACCAATCGTTACATTGGTAAACAAGTGATGAATGTTCTGACGCCGAATACTCTTGCCCCAGCTTACTTGTTAATAACGAGAAGCTAAAAGGGGAGATAACTTAGTCAGGAATTATCTCCCCTTCCAACATGGCTGCACTATTTTATCATACAACCTACATCATTTTCCAACACTAGTAAAAGAAGAAACACTGGTAGTCTGTTGTGAATGACAGCTTATGATACTTGTTTGTCAAGCAAATTAACTCCGACCTCGGTGCAACATTAATTCGCATCAACAAATAAGCTGTAAACACAAGTGATGAGTATCATGTTGGAGATGTACCTCCTACGGTCAGTACAAGTTGGTTTGATACTCAGGGCATTGAAGGACTCAGGTCCATGGTATAACTTACAACAGCACAAATAGTCATCTGTGATTTCACACATTATGTTTGCATATGTGACGTCACATATAATTCTGTGACATTACATAACCGGGCGAGACATTACATATAACATCTGTGACATCACACATCCATCTGTGATATCAGATATAACATCTGTGATATCACACAATCATCTGTGACATTAGATATAACATATGTGATATCCCATATAACATCTGTGACATCACACATCCATCTGTGACATCATATATAATATCTGTGACATCTCACAACTGTTTGTGACATCACACAACTGTCTGTGACATTACATATAACATCTGTGACATCACACAACTGTCTGTGACATCAAATATATCATCTGTGACATTACAATCATCTGTGATATCACATAACTGTCTGTGACATCATACAACTGTCTGTGACATTACATATAACATCTGTGACATCACACATCCGTCTGTGACATCAAATATAACATCTGTGACATCACAATCATCTGTGACATCACATATAACATCTGTGATATCACATAACTGTCTGTGACATCATACAACTGTCTGTGACATCACATATAACATCTGTGACATCACATGGCTGTCTGTGACATCACACAACTGTCTGTGACATTACATATAACATCTGTGACATCATACAACTGTCTGTGACATCACATTTAACATATATGAGATCACATAATCGTCTGTGACATCACACAATCATCTGTGACATCACATACAACATCTGTGAGATCACACAATTGTCTGTGACATCACATACATCTGTGACATTACACAATCATGTGTGACATCACACATCCATCTGTGACATCACATATACCATCTGTGACATGAGCCCCTACCACAAGGGAAGGCACTACCGACTGGGGCACCATTGCCCTCACTCACAGCTCAGTGTTCAGTATTTCGGTCTTATTGTGAATTGCTAGATCTTTGTTCTGTGTGTGTCAGTCATGTGATTTCTCAACATGTGTAGCAGTGTATCAACATGCATAGGAGCCACACATATATTTTAGCAGTATATAACAACGTTGTCGTATGACATGAGTAAAACACACCACCTGAAAACTAAAAGGACAACTGGGGATCCGGATAAACGAAAAAATGCAGTGGCAAAATATGCAATAAAGGGGCACTGTTTTGCACAGCTGTTTGTTCGTTGTTTTGCACAGCTGTTTGTTCTTTGTTTTGCACAGTTGTGTTTTTGCTGTTTTGCACAGTTGCACCTATAGCAAGTCTAGATACCATGTCAAACAGTGTAAACTGGCTTCATTTTCTGAATTATAAGTGGTTAGGTGCATAAGCATATAGGCCTTGACCAAGTGACCCGATATCTGTACAAAGTCAAATGATGTAGATCATTTTATGTTGTAGATGATTATCTATGTTGGCATATTAAAGAAAGAATGTACAGCAAAATTCTTAATTCATCTTAACATGACGCGTATAAATCCATCTTTATATTAAGTGCGCGACATGATTGTTGGGTTAAGTGCTGATAATGAAGTCTCATAATGACAAATGAAATACAGTTCGAGTGAGACCTTTCATGTGTGACTTGTGAGGTCATAGTTGTCAAATCAAAACAAATAAATGACGTTCACGTTGAACGACACCCATGATGTACGGATGTAGTATCTCACCATCTGCATCACAACCACGTGGGGAAGAACGCCAAGATTAGATTCTCCCCATTCTTCCTTAAACCACATTTGTCATGACGCCAGCTGTCAGTGTCGGATTCATTCATATACCATATTTGTCATAATGACAGCTCACTATCTCATCATAAGGTAGGACGTCTGGGTCAGATACTCTAAAACGCCAGTCTCACTGTAATCCCTGTTTCATCAAAGAGCAGATACCAGTGTCAGGGCTGGGATGAGTCCAAATTTACTACCCAGGTACCCACCAACCTATTACCTGACCCTACCCGGGTACCCACTGTAGGTCTCGAGAGATAGGTACAAAATGTCCAACTGGGAATAGTTTGACTGTAGCCCTGGACAAAATGTATTTAGATACATGTATAAAACGATCTGGTCATGCATACACTGAAGTTGACTGAAGTTGACGGAAGTTTAATCTTCATTCAAACATATAGACTTCTGGGTGCATAGTCAGAAAGAAATGCCAACATTATTGACTTAAACATTGTGGTGTAACGATATGGTTCAAGATCATTTTTGTCAATAAACAATATATCACATGACAAACAGCGGGTCCGGGTAGTTCTGTGGGTACCCGGGTCCTTCTCAGTACCCACCCGACCCGAGTACCCAAGTCCTCCGTCCCCCAGCCCTATAATGCAGGATGCCTGTATCAGATCCCTTAAAATGCCAGCCTCATAATAATGACAGCTTTGTGACCACATTGTTCCCTATATAACTGAAAACAGATGTCCACGAGAGCACGCACTTCACATTACACGTACATCACAAGGCTGTACTTACTTGTATGGGGAGTTTTCTACTGGTATCATTCTCCGCGTGGTTCGAGGGTATGGAGGAGAGCTCCGATTCGCCGATAGACAGCTGGCTGTGGTCGATTATCATGTCAGTGTCAGAGTCATTGTCTCGGTGAGACTCACCCTGAAAATATAAAAAATATATGTCACCATATTATTGAAACTGTTGATGCATTAAATTGTGAGTGGCCCGTTTACAATACTGCATCAACAATTAAGGATTGAAGTTGTATTTGTTGATGTTCATCAGCTGATGAAGCGCATCATGGAATTTGCTCACGTGAGGCACTGTCTTCATCAGCTGATGAACGTCAACAAATACAACTTCAATCCTTATATTGACAGATTCATAAATCATAACAAAACAATCCATTAAACATCAAACCTTAATTTTTGAAAGCGAACTATATCAACGCGGAGAGTCGTGACGTCATGACATCATTCATCCCAAACATTCCATTTGGAGTGACATCCCCTGTTTTTACAAACAGCAGAAAATGGCGGCTACCGCAATGTCATTCGCTTGAAATACAAGTTGCACCCAGTAAAGTTAGCGTTGGAATTGGAAAGAAATCAAGACCCGGCTGATGCTGAAAATGGATACACATTAACGTTCTGTGAACTTTGATGTGTGTTTGAGTCATACTACGGCTGCTGATGACGGGGATTACCGCTTGAGGCGGCGCAGTTGGATTTCCCGGGGCACGATAATGTGGAGCTTGGTGATTTCTTTTGGTAAGTCGAGCATTCTCTGTTATAGCTTTGAATGGACGCTTCATTTCGGTCACCCGACATATACCTGATCTGTCTGGCTTCAAAGCCTGCATCATACTTAGCCTGAATCGATGTCGCTCTCACTTTTCCCTAATTATTTTTAATGTTACTTTTAGACATTGAGGAATTCCCCTAAAGTATTTCTGTATATCTCCTCGCGATTGACCACGTAATCACGTGACATACTGAAGTTTATTGGGAAATGAATAACAGTCAGCTTGGTAGTGTTCACCTAGGCGAGGTCACCCGCTACTGTCAATATGGTAAAATATCACTCACTGACATCGTTACCATACCAGACTACAGACAGTTTCCGACATGTGCGAAACTTAATATCAGACTGTAAGAGAGTGAGTGAGTATGGTTTTACTCCGCTTTTAGCAATATTCCAGCAATATCACGGCGGGGACACCAGAAATGGGCTTCACACATTGTACCTATGTGGGGAATCGAACCCGTGTCTTCGGCGTGATAACGAAAGCTTTAACCACAAGAGTACCCCAACGCCACAATATCAGACTGTAATCAAAGCTACCTCCATTAAGAAATGGTGGGAGTGTCTCATATGTTCAGTCAGGTGAATTTGGAAATGAACATGCAGTGCCCTTAAGACTATTAGGCAAGCCTTGCAAAGCCTTCAAACGTCTCCACTGCATGTCACTACTGTAACAGCATACCTCTCATTGCGATGCAAAACATATGACCTCACAGCCTATCAGGTCGGACATAGAAACAAACATATTTCAAGTTATTACCTGCGCGGGCAAACATATTGGGGTTCATGAAAATCATATGTGCCCTTGGGTCACGTCACGAGACAACAGTGTATTGTTTCCGTCATCTAGATGGCATTGTTGAAGTCATTCAAATCTTATTGTGACAGGAGGTCGGAATGACCGCACGCAAGAAACGACATCATAGCTGAAGATTGTTGACTTCAATCAACAAATTGTGGTTCAGCTGCTGTTGCGACTTGCTGTCCTTATAGGTAAACACAAAAATTTGTCTTTGTATGTAGACATCTTCTTCGGTATTAAATAGAACATAATATTCGTGTCCATGTCATACTATGTTTACGACACTCGTGCCTAAATTCTGGTATTTCCCAAGTGAGAGCGAGGGAAATACCGGAATTTAGACATTTGTGTCATAAACATAGTATGACCTGAAAACTCATATAATATCCTAAATCTCTCTTTCAATCCTACTTATTATTAATACTTTCTCTTAGATAATTTATATTGTGTTTTCTTCCCCTACTTTGAATATTAATATAACTCAGCATTTTGTGACATACTATTTCAAACAGCCTGCTACCAATGACTGAGAAAGAAGTCATTTTCTAAAACACATCAGCTTCTTCGATGAGTCAAATCAGATGTTTCAATCAAAACAGTTTATTGTGATTTGAAACCTCTGATTAACCAATCAAAATAAGGATTTTAGCAAAGTCATCAAAACATTCTGTAATTGACCAATGCTGTGATCACATACAGGATTCACACAAGACACTGGCCTCATCCCAGGGCACTAATTATGTATGCTTCGGCAACAAGCAAGTCGGCAGCCCTCCTTACCTGTGTCGACACGTGAAGATCTGGGGTAGAATACGACTTCAGCAACCCATGCTTGCCGTAAAAGGCGACTAAGCTTGTCGTAAGAGGCGACTAACGGGATCGGGTGGTCAGGCTCTCTGACTTGGTTGAAGCATGTCATTGATCCCAATTGCGTGGATCGATGCCCATGATATTAATCACTGGATTGTCTGGTCCAGACTCAATTATTTACAGACCGCCATCATATAGCTGAAATATTGCAGAGTACGGCGTGAAACAAGAAACCAACCAACCTTACCTGTGTCATCTGCTCCTCTGTGGTCAACAGCTTGGCCAGGGGTAAGCAGCATTTTGGTAATGTCTCCATAAGCGTCGGTCGACAATTTGTTAAAAAGGGTTTCATGAACCTGAAAAAGAAAAGATTGGTTTAACTGTAATTATAAGATGTTCTCAAACAGTCCCTCTCTGATGGTAAGAAGTTAGTTAATATTTCAAAAATATTTTCCCATTTCTCAATGTACTTAATTTCAACTGTTTTAGGAACATGTCCATTCCCAAATTAGGGATTTGATATCATCTTGTTTATCTTGTTTATACCACCCAAAAACATCCTGGATAAAATTCCTGGATAAATTTCATGGATATTATCCTGAGGTAAGAAACAGTAGGAAGTCTACAGATGTCACTAGGATTCTTGCATCTTCCAAGAAGCAAGTTTGCAGAACAAAACTTACAGTTCAGAAGATTATTCTAGCTCTGCTGCCTTCATATGTTTTTGAAATACAGATGTACATAAGCTTTCGGACTCACTTGGGGCTTGTACAGGGAATACTTACATATAGGTCTCCAAGTTAGGCAGGGGGTGTTATATGACAAATTCAGTATAGCAGGACAAAAAGTCAGAAACAAGTGATATTCACCATTTTTCACAAAAATCAGCCTTTGTTACATTATTGATTGAAACATTATCTCTTTTATCTCGGGTCATTTTGGCTGTGTTTCTGACAAGTTTTGAACATTGCTGCAAAAAGGTTTTCTGTTGTCTTTCTTTTTATTGTGAGTAAATCTGATAACATACTTACACCATATCAAAGTTATACCACTTGGCAACCAGCCAAGCTTTCCCTTTTGTCCTTGGTATCTCCCCAGGGTCTCCAGACTCCTACATATCAACATAACATGGTTAAAACTCCTGTGGTATAAGAATTCTGCTGCAGACAACACATGTAGATACATGTACATATGATAATGGCACACCTATCAGCCAGACTCAACGATAGGAAACAGTCGTTCCTTACAAATTTCACACAATTAATGACTTCAGAGAAAAATAATTACATATCTTATAAAAAAGTTAGTCTCATTAACAAAACAAAATTACAATTATAAAGTATTGACAATAAATGACTTGACATTTCATTCACCGGTAATCATTTTTTCAAAAGTAAGAATTTATTTTCCAGATGCAGCAGCTGTGTAACACTATTAGCAAGCATGTTAAATCACTGTCACTGAGTCTGGACATCAATCAGTGGTATGCACATGAGGTCCAAGCTGAGAGTGGTCTCCCTTGGTGGTCACAAGTCAATCCACATTTATGAGTCATTGTGGCCAACAGATCTCTGTTTATGTCGTAGTTTACTTCAAGATTAGAAACTAAATGCATGTAAGAGTCCCTTGACTTAGATTACAATTAATTGCCCTTTTCAAATACATGTTACAGTACCCTAGCTGTGTTTTTTCTGCTACATCTGTTCTCATGCCATCAATTCAAGAACTCAATTCGCTCAGCATAATTATTTTCTGCCTTCTCACAAAGTATATGTATTTATCATAAGGGTACAACTTTAAACTGTTCTGGGCAGGACATGGGATTTTCTTCTTTTAAATATTCCAGAATATACTGGAAATTTTTTTTTTTGCCTCAGCTTTTACTAAAAAAGAACAGCTGACCAGTGGATGTCCTGAAAACGATTGTGTTGTTGGTTAAAAGGAAAGTCAGTGGTGCAGTGATTGAAAATATGTAGTCTTTTAGAATATATAATCCCAGGTCCCTCCAGAATCCCCGTTATGAGTTTCATAACCTTAGATGTATAAAGATAACTGTATCATGTACATCATCATGTATTTCACATGCACATACTGAATGATAACAAGCTGATGGCTGAGATTTGTTACACAGTCCTCGGTACACAGGGGTATCTTATACAACCTCCCGTAGGCCGAAATAACAAATGTTCTGTTTCTGAACCCACTGGCCAATCACTTAACAAGTAACCCTGAAATTTGTATCCATGAAGAAAACTCATCAAAACTTAAATCAAAATAATATTATTTCTTTAACCTTCCAAAAATATTCCTGTCAAGGAGATTTCACCTGAAACACAACTATTCATAATGGTACCATACAATAGGAAGAGAATTGCCATTTTGTCTAATCAATTCCTTCTGTTTTCTCTTGTTTTCCTGGGAAAGACGATAGCCTGTACCCCTGTGTGCCGAGGATGGACCGCAGGCAATACCAGCCCATACATCCGTCATACAACATTGCTGGATCACATCACTGCCACCACAGAGGTTAATACAAACACTAGAGCATCCACCATGGCTACAACTACATTGGTGTATTCATGCAATCCACTTTGGTTCCAGGAACAGGTTCAACAAAGTTTTACAACATCTTTGAACATTGATTGGTATGGCAACATTCATAATCCTTTCAAATTTTAACGTAAGAACTAAACATTCGGGTATTGTACATGTGTATTTGTAGACATTGTACTTGTTAAGTGTCTGTTCCTGAATTATTTAAACCAAGTGCCTAAATACACCAAACCAACAGATCCTCTACATCTATGTCAATACCAGCATGCACTGGGGAAGACATGTTAAAGGAGAGAGCAGGCGCAACTGTACAGCTCAAGTTTCTATTTGATTTGCTCACTTTCTCTCAAAATATAATATTGAAGAATGTACTGCGTGTACACAATATCCCCAGTGCCCCATGCTTGTCCCATGGCCATCCTTATTGCATCTTCCTGAGGCAAGTGTGTCCACTAGCCTATATCAAAGCCTAGTTTCTACCCTTGCCACATCAAGGCCACTTTACTTGGCTCGGCCCTGGCGCCACCTTGCATAAATCACAAGTTGTGTCCCTTGTAATGAAAACGCGATATCAAATCAGATCACTGTTCTTATCTTGTAGAGCTTCACAAAGATGACGGCTACTACAGGTGACGACCTAGTCGATCAGATAACGAACACATTTGCGATTTCATCTCTGACACAAAAACATAGGCAATCCATGGGGGGTTTAAAAGATGAAAAGGACATATTGTCAACAAAGACAGGCAGCTGTAAGTCACTTTCATACGAAGATGTACCAGTTGTTGATGTTGATTTTGTGAAATGTTCTCGGACTGGACTATCGTGTGACAGTCCAATCCTATTTAGCACAGGAAAGTGGGCTTGATGTGGCAAGGGTGGAAACAAGACAGATCAAAAGGCTAGTGGATGCTCTTGCCTTGGGAAAATGTCCTTATTATTGACTGCAGATTTCACAGATCCCGTACCAAGGACTAATTTTCTTCGATCATGGCGACGCCTGAGTGTCTAATAGAGGAAATATGGTATGTTTGTTATATTGTATATTGTATAACGACCAACACATTTGTATCCCACACTGAAACAAAAGTTGAGCTGTCAGCACCCTATTAGTAGTGAGAATGGGGACGATGACGATGATGATGATGATGATGATGATGATGATGATATACTGTTTTCAGTCAAGGATATATCAGAGTATATCACAATATCAGTATTAACTGTTTTCAGTCAAGGATATATCAGAGTATATCACAATATCAGTATTAACTGTTTTCAGTCAAGGATATATCAGAGTATATCACAATATCAGTATTAACTGTCTTCAGTCAAGTATATATCAGAGTATATCACTATATGTAGCCTGAGAATGATGATCATGTAAGCCATGTAACAAAAATACAAGCCTGACAAAAGCCTGAAGTCGAGTAAGACACAGAAGTGGAAAGGACATTTATCTGCTTCCTGCTGTCATGACAACCAGTCTAGATACTCCAAAGATTCACACTAAACTGTTATGAACTTCATTGGAAACCTGCTTCTGCTCGTGGGTCAGTCCACTAGAACCTAAAACCTACACAACTACAACCCTAACACTACTTCAATGTGTCAACTTGAGTTTTCTTGAATTGTTTGATAGTCATTACTTAGAAGAGGACGGATGACAAAGTAGACACAATTTATGGATAACAACTTCTTCAGTTACTGTAAGGGCGATCCTTATAACGTTGTCAAGCAGTCTATAAGCACCTATACCGAAACATCGCCTTTATAGTAATACATTGTGTCAACTCTGAATATTCTTGAACGTTTCACAAAAAAAAACTTTCATATTTTGATTTCACTAAAATCAGATCTCTTCCTCTACGTTAAGACCTCAGGACACCCTAAGGAAGGTTGCTTCAGGTGAACACGGAGTAGTGTTAGAAATAAAACAAAATGGCTGCCATGAGGAACCACACACGCTTGGAGCTGTAGGCCCAGACCAAACTCTTCAGGTCCTCATTTAAAAAACTGCAGCTTGTTTATCAATGAACATATTTACTGCTGGCCACAAGGTCCCATACAAATTTGGAACTACGGGCCCAAAACGAGATCTACCTGTCACGGTCCGGCGCTTATTTTGAACACTGATCATGAAATTTGACAGCTGAATGGGATCTTGAGCTAATCAGATGTTAGATTACAAAAGCGATTCGGTTTCATTTTTATACCACCCTGAAAAGGAAATTTTGATTCGTACAATGAAAACCCAAACAGAACAGCACTAATCCTTCGATGGGACTCCCTTTTGGGTGTAGATGCGTTAGTGCTCAGGAACAACGGGATGTTGGAAATATTCAGTTCAATACATTGACACAGCTATACATCCTACTTTCGGAACTTGTTTTAGTTTGTTTTCGATACCGAAATCAGATACGGTATTCGACGTAATAAGCGCTCCGCTCTAATAAGCGCCCACGGAAATATTTGCTATCCTAATCCTAATTATCTGTCGTATTTAAACATTTCAGGCTGCAAGCATAAACTACAAAATTTATCTTTCAACTTCACCAAAATAATATTCTAATAAAAGCCCCGTATTTCTAATTTTGAGAGCACCCTGGGCGCTTATTACGTCTCCTGTGGTAGTGTACTCAGACCTTCACACAGAGTGATATCGCATTGAAGTAAAATATCAAATATAATTAGTGAGTGTGAGTGAGTTGGGTTTAACGCTGCTTTTAACAGTATTCCAGTTATATTGCGGCGTGTCAGCTTAATGTGGGAGGAAAGCCTAAAGTGATGCAGGTCTCAGACGTTTATCACTTCGGTGAAACCCACAAGCACAGGTATGGTGTTGAAAAACCCAGAAACAAAATCGGGGTGAACCAGGATTCGAACCGAAAATCAAAGGTTTCTGGCGTGCCCTAGGGACGCAACTCTGAGCAGCGAATCGCGGCGCCTTAGACGACTGGGCCACCCGTGCCCCCTTCCAAATTTAATGAAATTGTTCAATTTTTGAATGTTTCAACCTAAAGGCACTGTTGAATGATTAAGTCTAAAGTCTTTCATATCCTTTAACAATTCAACCTAAAGTCTTTCATAATCTTGAATGTTTCTACCTAAAGTGTCTAAAGTTCTTTGATGGATAGACATAAATAAAACTTTTGATGCCTTGAATGATTAACAAGTCTTTGATAACTTGAACATTCAACACAGACTAAGATAATCCAGAACTATACATAAACAAGAAGTAATAAACAGCCCAGGAAATGAATCAAACTTACCGATTGTGAAGACTCCATGAGGACTAAAACTCTCAAAATACCACTACCACCCAACAACTCACACAGAATAAATAACATCCATCTACACCTAATGTCTAATCTTGGAAAGACAAAACCCCGAGAGAGAAAGGTGACACCGCCAAAATTCAAATCAAGTAAGGACTACATGGAAATAAAGACATGACTACATTGAAATCATAGCAAAACAACAGAATAAACAGTGTGCTTTACCAAATGACACCAGGAAGAAAACTACAAACTGAAATGCAAGAAGGCAGCTAGATGCCAATAAGTTGAAGAGTGTCGTTCGGTGCACGTGTACCTGTTCTAAAAGGGGGGAGCCAGCGAGGGACTGGCCTTCTTCGGCTTCAAACTGAAACACAGCAAGATTTGTGTCAGTTGACCTACAACATGTGGCTGTCTCCATTAGCACTGTCTATGTGTGGCTCTCCAAGCACTGTCGATGTGTGGCTCTCCCAGCACTGTCTATGTGTGGCTCTCCCAGCACTGTCGATGTGACACTCCCAGCACTGTTGATGTGTGACACTCCCCCAACTCAGGCGCTCAAAATATTTGGCACTCCCCAGACTCAGGCGCTCAAAATATTTGGCACCCCCAGCCCAATCCAGCACTCCCAATGTGTGGCACTCCCAATGTGTGGCACTCCCCCAACTCAAACTCTCTAAAAATTTGGGTTTCGTCGGAGAAGATGCTATAAGGCGACGCATGATGGACAAACTGGCCACGACATAAACTCTCTTGAATTATATATATGCTCATAAATTATTTTTTCAAATGGTAACCGCCCACATATAATGTACTGAGAATTTTTATTAAGTAAGATAACTGCACTTTTTGCTTGTTTAATAGGATTGGCCTTCAAAATAAATATTAATATAAATAATATAATTGTGTTTAACAAATTGCCAGGATATTCTCTTCATATACAAGCTGAACAACTGACTAGTTCTCTGTATTCACAAATAAATAGAGGGCATGTGTTTTCCAGGCATCACAACTAACTGCGTAGAGTTGTTTCCATTGGCCGTATCAGGATCCTCTTCCTTGAATGGTAGGTTTGAATTCCAGATGTGACATGATCCTTTGTTTGTGGCCAAAGCAATAAATACGATACAAGACTGACTGAGGATGAACATCGAAACACCCCCCAAATATTTCTGTTCGGTAAAACTGCAGACATTGACAGTCTTTGAGTTTTTCATGCAGCAACTTAGCAACTTAACACAGAAGTGCCACTGTCCCATTGAGAGTGCAAGGATGATTTGATCTGAATCTCATGCACAAAATGCAACTATCCTCCTATGTTTGGGGGAGAGTCTTGTCACAGACATGTTTTTTCTGCTTGTTTTCTTGTTTTGGATGCAGACTTTTCTTAGAGGAATACCCACAGTAAGAAAAGAATCTTCATGCAAAGGTGATGTTTACGAAGCAATATGTCTATGTCTGTGAAGTGCCCATGAAAAAAACACACGGTCTGACAAGGAGTAATAGTTTGTGTCATACAAATCATAAATACAAATCAAAAATAAACTAAAGAACCAGAAAAATAATGTGCAAAGTGTGTGGCATCAATATTGGCATCTTCCTGGTACTGAAACACACAATGACCCCGTTACTCAAGGTCAAGGTCAAACCACCCTTAAAAGTCATCATGACATGGGGTCACATGATCAAGGTCAACAATAACTGTACAGAGACCAAGTGAAATCGACAGAACGTCACGCATGGAAGCATGTGATAAAAGTCATCAAAGGTCAAGAACACTCAAAGCAAAAGATGTGCCAAAAAAGGAAACGGAAAGCACCATTTCAAGATGTAACATGGATAAAAGCCAGGTCACAGAGACACTGAGGTCAAGGTGAGGTCCAGATGAGGTCAAGGTGATTTAAGATGACCTCAGAATGGGAACAAATACACACACTTGGTGAACAGCAGAGGGAATGGGCTATACAGTGCAGGATGGTTGAAGGTGAAGCGTGGAAAACAAAACACAAACCATTACCATGTCCACATGTCCAAACACCTGGTCGGGGACCAAACATTTGATATTCGGGGAGGGGGGGGGGGGGGGGGAATGGGGGCAATTTTGTATCAAGATTAGATATTTCTGCTTCAGATGCAAAACCAGATATTTTTGTATTTAAAACTATGAGCCTGAATTTTTAAAAAGAAGAAACACCTTGCAACAATGAAATAATGTTTGCGCAGGCAATTTCTCTTTTTCCAAAGGGACAATTGGTTTTTTTTCGATAACATCCCACAAAATATCCAATGTTCGGTCCCTTAGTACCCAACCACAGACAATGCTGAAACACTTCCACCTGTAGTACATAATGGGATATGGAAACTAAGGTTAGAATTAATGAAAATAAAGTAGAAAACTTTCAAATTAATCAGAACGTGGTGTTAATCAATACCAAAATACCAGCAAGTAAACAAGGATACACAAAGAGGAAGAGGATGAAAACGTGAAGAAAAATGTCCCAAAAACCAGAAATGAAACTAAAAATTACAAATTTTTCAATGAATCGTGAAGGATGATGTGTGATTGAACTTCAAACAAGTAGTGGTCTGAGAGTTATCTCCCCTTTGCAGCATTCTAGAACAATCATTACTCTCCGAACACATGTTCAGTAGTTAATTCTCCAACGAAGCACACATGGAACAAATGTTAACAATGTCTGCATAAAAGGCATATCTTCATGATATTATTTTTTTGTTTCCAAATGAAATGACACTGTACTAAGGGAAACAACTCTCAGAAAAGACTTCTAACAAGAATTTATCACACTATCTAAGACACATGAAAACCAAGCAGGAATGCACAGGTTTTGGGGGAATTAACCAACCGGCCGGTTTGCCGTGGTGACATGGGGCGTGGGAGGCTGGTCATCGGAGGGACTGCTCATTGTGCTGTATTGACGCTGGCTCTGCATAGCCTGGACACACAGACAGACACAGGGAGTAACCATTGTACTATTTTGCATAGTGTCAAGACTGATTTGACAAAGCGTATTCATATTATGTCCACTGGCTAAAGTACATTTCATTTCTCAGTATACAATCATTCTTATTGGTCTCCTGTTCAAAAAAGAAGCATGAACAAACTTTAACAGATATAATTTAGATTTACCAAGAGAAAGAATTAATTTTAAATATTTTACTTTCACAAATATCACTTTCATTTTACAGGGTAAATTACTCTGCACAGTGATTAAAAGAAGAAAAAGTCATCATGCAAATTTAAAGAAATAAAACTTTTGTATATGAAACATAGAAGTGAAACCGCTTGGATCTTCATTACATCGGAATACTATTGCAGCATCTGATAAAACTCAAAAGATAATGAAAAACAATAAACAAAAGCATAAACAATCTCAAAGAGATTATACATAATACATTTCTGCAATGTTTAGTCTGTTAGTGACATCAAGCACCAAACCGTTATAAGTAATAGCAAAATATTCAAAGAAATAAAAGTGACTTAACCTAAACTTGATAAACAAAACAGAAACAAAAACAAATAGTTCTTCCATGTACAGAGTGGGGGTTTTACACCGGTTTAGCAATATTCCAGCCATATTCGGGCAGGGAACAACAGAAATTAGCTTCACACACTGTACCCTTGAGGGGAACTGAACCAGGGTCTCTTGCGTGATGAGTCAACACTTTGACCACTGGGTTGCCTCACCGCAGTGTCAAATGGACAAAATGGTGATATATAGAAAATTCAGAATTATTATTACTTGCACTTTTGGTTGATTGAGACATAATTACTTCTGACATAATCTCAAATAATATCATACATAACAAATGAGAATGTAAAAAAAACAATAAAACGATATCTCTTCATTAAAAACTAATTCTTGAGTTTTATAAAATAATTGTAAGTGGAAGCTGATATGTCTTCAGCACAGAAAGTTAAAGTGTTAGCTTTGAGAGTATACATGGTAAGTGTGAATGGAGTCCAGTACTTACACTCCTCACGGCATTGGGAGGCATCTGCTGCATCTCCAACTCCTCATCCACACCCACCCTGGAAGAAAGGTCACGGTTAGATCAAATACAAAGGTAACATCGTCAATGAGGTCAAGGTTAGATAAAAAACAAGGTCATACTATCAATGAGGTCAAGGTGACATCAAACACAAAGGTAACATCATCAATGAGGTCAAGGTTAGATATAAAAATCATGGTCATATTATCAATGAGGTCAAGGTGACATCAAATAGCAAGGTCATACTATCAATGAGGTCAAAGCAGGGGTCCGGAAAATTTAAAATCCCAATCGGACATTTGCATTTAGGCCACGCCCCCTTCAAATAGCGTATTTTAGTACGACTTTTCACACACATTACAAGTTTACGTATTCATAATATGAATGTTATGTTTATGAATGTTATGAATGTTTCAATTTAAATTGTTTAATTCACCGGACAATTAATAACAAATAATATCATTTTAGATTTACATGGAAAACATACGTTTGTTTCTTTTATAATAACGATCTGTTAACGTAGTGAATGGTCTATTTAATATTCATGAGTTATATTCATGAGTTTGCTCAAGTGTACGCGTTGTAACATTTGGATCGAGACTATTATCCCATATTTGGTTATCACGTGACCTCACGGGAAATGTGTTTTTTTAAACTAAAGATTTTTTTAAAAACAAGACAGATAATTTAATCACAAATGCAAAAATATCGTTGATAGCAATAGTTATTTGAATACTTTTTTCATCTGTACTTATTTATTGACCATAAAAAAATTGGATATCGATCGTCCGAGAAAGCTAAATGGCGGTCAATCAAGATTCAATATACGACTAGCTACTGAAAACAATAAAATCTGCAAATCCTCATTGTATGTCAACCAAGTGAAAGTCGTTAGCCACGACTTACAAAATGATCGTCCAGACTTTGAGGGTTTGGCAGATCCGCTCGACTGATCTGCATCGGTCTACTGGCTGTCGTCACGCTTTCGCTTCTTGTCTGAGGTTACGTATCGTAGCATTGTGAGGATAATGAGGTACATCGATGATGCAAGGTATTAATGTACAGTTGTAAACACCTTTCACTCAAATTAACAAGATGTTCTCAGTAATTAATCCTCGATTAATCAGTGTCAACTCAGTTTATTGCCTATTACAGTGATTGACCGATTGGACTATCATGTAGGTACGATGTATTTACAGCAATCAAAACAAACAAAGCTTGTCAGTGTAGTTAATCTTCATTGTGTTGCAACTGCAGACAGAAACTGCTCAGTCCTAACTGTTGATCATGTCCGGTCAAAATTTAAGAATGTCCGGACAATACTTTTTAAAATGTCCGGTAAGCAATATTTTAAAACGGACATTTGAGATTCCCAATCGGACATGTCCGGCGCATATGACGGTTTCAGGACCCCTGGGTCAAAGTGACATCAAATACCAAGGTCATACTATTAAATGAGGTCAAGGTGATCAATGAGGTCAAGGTGACATCAAATACAACCGTCATACTATCAATGAGGTCAAAGGGACATCAAATACCAAGGTCATACTATCAATGAGGTCAAGGTGACATCAAATACAAACATCATACTATCAATGAGGTCAAGGTGACACTTTTGATTAAGTTAAATCACCACAACATTACCAGTACAACCAAACTAGGAGCTAAGTATGTGAACAAAAACCAAGCCGTCAGGTGAGCTAAAATGCCATGATAGTCCATCTTCCTGAGGCAAGGCAAGTCCAGTTTTCACCATTGCCGAGCAAGGCTGGAATTCCAGAGTTATATTTTGGCTGGACTAAAGAGTCTGAAAATGGAGCAATGAACTAGACATCCGGTTTGTAAACAACATGGATTTCAACATGCAGAATTTGATCGACGGCAAAACTTGCAAACATGTGTACCGTCCACACGGCGTCGACAGATATTTCACAAATCTTTTCATGTTTTTAAACAAGGTGCTCAAATGTTTTGATGCACTTCCTGAGGTAAGACCCACTTTATTACAATATAGATCTTGATCATTGATCAGATCGTCTTGACTGGGCGCTGACATTTTGTTTGAAGTAAATGCAAGCGATACGGGAGGTGGAATCTGATTGGTCAGTAGGAGGGACATAAAAGGGAAATACCTGGCAATAGTCACTGGTGGCGCTACGAGTGAGCCACGAAATTCAAAGGTAGTTCGGCAAGGGTGGCAACTGGACTCTAGCTGTCACTTAATGATTGTTACCACCCCAGCCTCATTGATTTGTTCTTAAAGGACCCTTGTGACCTTCTCTCTCCCAGAATCCTGAGAGGGGCCATTGGTGAAAAGCCCATGTATTTCTCATGATGTGACCTAGCACCTGGTTTACACCAGGATCATATCAGCTCTCACCTTATTTTGAGCCACTGCAGCATTGGAGTAGTGAGGCCTCCACAGAGGACTACAGTTGCCAGGACGATGATCATCGTCGCTGACACAATGTACTGCCGTGGCAATGTCGACGTGTTCCGTATAGCCAGGGCGAAGGCGATGGCGCCTCGTAAACCTGGAGAGAGAAATATCACTACATTGCTTGTAACCAGGAGAGATATATCACCACTACCTGGAGAGAGATATAGCTACAGGTTCCTATGTACATATATAGTGAAAATAAGTGAATATTTAAATCTTTTACTGATATGAAATTACTTGATTGATATCCAAATATATCTCACCTGAGAACATCATCATGTGCTGGAAGTTCCAGCCGATCTTGTTGGTTCTTCCCAGGTTCAGCAAGAAGGACAACGGGTACACATTCAAAAATCTACCAATGATTATAGCGAGCTGGAGGATAGTTAAGGAAACTACAGGATCATGTTGACGACTGGATAATCTGGAGTGAGTGAGTGAGAGAGTTGTGTAAGTGAGTGAGCAATCGTGAGTGAGAGTGTAAGTGATTGAACAAGTGAGCGCGAGTGAGGATGTCAGTGAGTGAGTGAGGATGTCAGTGAGTGAATGAGTGAGAGTGTCTGTGAGAGTGAGTGAGGTAGTGAGTGATTGAGTGAGGGTGTGAGTGAGTGAGTGAGGATGTCAGTGAGTGAGAGTGTCTGTGTGAGTGAGTGAGGTAGTGAATGATTGAGTGAGGGTGTGAGTGAGTGAGTGAGGATGTCAGTGAGTGAGAGTGTCTGTGTGAGTGAGTGAGGTAGTGAATGATTGAGTGAGGGTGTGAGTGAGTGATGATGTGAGTGATTGAGTGAGGATGTGAGTGAGTGAGTGAGTGAGGATTTGAGTAATTGAGTGAGTGAGTGAGGGTGTGATTGAGTGAGGATGTGAGCGAGCGAGTGTCTGTGAGTGAGTCAGTGAGTGAAAGAGTCAGTCAGTCACTCAGTCAATTTGTGTTGCGCAGCCTTCAACCTCCACCTACACCACAGCCTTCAACCTCCATAACACCACAGCCTTCAACCTCCACACACACCATAGCCTTCAACCTCCACCCACACCACAGCCTTCAACCTCCACCGACGCCACAGCCTTCAACCTCCATAACACCACAGCCTTCACACCACAGCCTTCAACCTCCACCCACACCATAGCCTTCAACCTCCACCCACGCCAAAGCCTTCTACCTCCACCCACACCACAGCCTTCAACCTCCACCCACACCATAGCCTTCAACCTCCATGACACCACAGCCTTCAACCTCCACCCACACCACAGCCTTCAACCTCCACCCACGCCATAGCCTTCAACCTCCACCCACACCACAGCCTTCAACCTCCACCCACACCACAGCCTTCACCCTCCACCCACACCACAGCCTTCAACCTGCATAACACCACAGCCTTCAACCTCCACCCACACCACAGCCTTCAACCTGCATAACACCACAGCCTTCAACCTGCACCCCACAGACAGAAAAGGTAAAGGATACAAATGAAGCAAATATGAATCCAGCATCCCAGCGGATCCTGCTCTCTTGAAAGGTGAAGACAGATACTCCGATGTACAGAAACACAAAGTTCTCCGACAGGAAGTTTGTCAGCTCGAACAGCTGTGGACAAAACAGACATCATTAGTGATTCCTTTGGTATCTAAAACTTGGAACCCCAAATCTTTAACTTTAAATATAAGGGTTGTGACAATGACCTCTGACTTTCATGTTTAATTTCAAACACTGCATCATACAAAAATAAATGATTGATCAATCACTTACAGATACGTTTGAGAGAATGTTGAAAGATGAGATAACGCTTTTCATGTTAAAATTAATGAGATAAAGAAAAACAATGATTCACTTTTGACAGAAAGTCATTACCCAGCATAGGATTTGAATGGTCTTTACATACTTATCTTTATCTATGTGTACACTTAAAGCATAACGTACATGTCCAATGCTCAATCCAAAATATAGATACCTAGTCATCTCCTAAACCGACAGACAACCTATCTAACTGTCTAGGTCAAGTACCTGTGTATTCCAGGATCTCAAACTAGGAGTTAATTAGTGGATAAAGTATAAAGCCACAGGTCTGAGTTTGATTCCACGTATGGATGCAATGTGTATTTCTGGCATCCCCTTTCCGACATATCCCCAGATATTGCTAGGAGCAGGAGAAAACCACATTCATTCACTCAAGCTTGAAGCCATACACTTGGAAACGATAAAACACAGTGATTTATTTGATAAAATCTTCTGATATTTATTTCATTTTTTATACTCTCAGAAATGAGAGATAAAGCTCTCTACACTGCCAGTCAATAGTTATGAGACGAAAGACAAAGCTCCCTAAACTGCCTGTCAGCAATTAGGAGATGACAGACAAAGCTCCCTACACTGACAGTCAGTTATCAGGAGATGAGAGACAAAGCTCCCTACACTGACAGTCAGTTATCAGGAGATGACAGACAAAGCTCCCTACACTGACAGTCAGTTATCAGGAGATGAGAGACAAAGCTCCCTACACTGACAGTCAGTTATCAGGAGATGACAGACAAAGCTCCCTACACTGCCAGTCAGTTATCAGGAGATGACAGACAAAGCTCCCTACACTGCCAGTCAGTTATCAGGAGATGACAGACAAAGCTCCCAACACTGCCAGTCAGTTATCAGGAGATGACAGACAAAGCTCCCTACACTGACAGTCAGTTACCAGGAGATGACAGACAAAGCTCCCTACACTGACAGTCAGTTATCAGGAGATGACAGACAAAGCTCCCTACACTGACAGTCAGTTATCAGGAGATGACAGACAAAGCTCCCAACACTGCCAGTCAGGGGCAGACAGTGGAGGAAGTTCAAGCTCCAGTGGAGGAGTGAATCCTGTTATCAGGTAACACTGATATCAGGTTGTTGTTCATCTGCAACATGTACAGATACTGCAAGATAACGGACCAACCATATAATATTCTGGTGGGGACGAAATATTCATTTTGACCATTGGCTCAATACCTACATTTTTGTCTCTTAAAATTAAATAAGAAACTTACAATAAGTTTTGTTTTGTCTTCTTGCATTTTAATGAACAAGTTATTTCAAAACCATCCAACACTGCACAACCTCCTACCCCTTGACCAAGAATATCAGCTGGGTGGACCCTTTACTCAAAGTATTGTTACACGTTGAAGTCTATCATCAATAAGCTCACCTTCAAGATAACAAAAGTCACTCCTCTACTCAAGCCGTAGCATGACAGAAATGTCACAATTACATGTTACAACACAGCATCGCGTTCATGAAACTAACAATGGTTGAGTGAGTGAGTGTGATAACACTTTCAGCTACTTTTTTTAATCACCTAAACTGCTACATAGGGGAATCCCCTACACTGCCACATGGGGGAATCCCCTACACTGCTACATGGGGGAATCACCTAAACTGCTACATAGGGGAATCCCCTACACTGCCACATGGGGGAATCCACTACATTGCCACTTGGGGGAATCCCCTACACTGCTACATGGGGGAATCCCCTACACTGCCACATGGGGGAATCCCCTACACTGCTACATGGGGGAATCCCCTAAACTGCTACATTGGGGAATCACCTAAACTGCTACATAGGGGAATCCCCTACACTGCTACATGGGGGAATCAACTACATTGCCACTTGGGGGAATCCCCTACACTGCTACATGGGGGAATCCACTACACTGCCACTTGGGGAATACCCTACATTGCCACATGGGCAAATCCCCTACACTGCCACTTGGGGGAATCCCCTACACTGCTACATGGGGGAATCCACTACATTGCCACATGGGCAAATCCCCTACACTGCCACATGGGGAAATACCCTACACTGCTACAGGGGGGAATACCCTACACTGCCACATGAGCAAATCCACTACATTGCCACTTGGTGGAATACCCGACACTGCCACATGGGGGAATACCCTACACTGCCACATGGGCAAATCCCCTAGACTGCCACATGGGCAAATCCCCTACACTGCCACATGGGAGAATCCCCTACACTGCCACTTGGGGGAATACCCTACACTGCCACTTGGGGGAATACCCTACACTGCCACATGGGGAATCACCAACATTGCCACATGGGGGAATCCTGTACACTGCCACTTGGGAGAATACCCTACACTGCCACTTGGTGATCACCTATGCTGCCACATGGGGGAATACCCTACACTGCCACTTGGGGAATCACCAACATTGCCACATCGGCAAATCCCCTACACTGCCACTTGGGGGATACCCTACACTGCCACTTGGAGATCACCTACGCTGCCACATGGGGGAATACCCTTCACTGCCACTTGGGGAATCACCTAAACTGCCACATGGGGGAATACCCTATACTGCCACATAGGGAATCACCTACACTGCCACTTGGGGGAATCCCCTACACTGCCACATGGGGGAATCACCAACATTGCCACAAGGGGGAATCCGTACACTGCCACTTTGGAGAATACCCTACACTGCAACTTGGGCGAATCCCCTACACTGCCACTTGGGCGAATCCCCTACACTGCCACATGGGCAAATCCCCTACACTGCCACATGGTCGAATCCCCTACACTGCCACACGGGCAAATCACCTACACTGCCACATGGTCGAATCACCTACACTGCCACATGGGCAAATCCCCTACACTGCCACTTGGGGAATCACCTACACTGCCACATGGGCAAATCCCCTACACTGCCACATGGGCAAATCACCTCCACTGCCACATGGGCAATCCCCTACACTGCAACTTTGGCAAATCCCCTACACTGCCACATGGGCGAAATCCCCTACACTGCCACTTGGGGAATCACCTACACTGCCACATGGGCGAATCCCCTACACTGCCACTTGGGGAATCACCTACACTGCCACATGGGCGAATCCCCTACACAGCTTCATGGGGGAGTCCTACACTGCCACTTGGGGAATCCCCTACACTGATACATTGGGGAATCCCCTACACTGCCACTTGGGGAATCCCCTACACTGATACATTGATGAATCCCCTACACTGATACATGGGGGAATCCCCTACACTGATACATTGGGGAATCCCCTACACTATCACATTGATGAATCCCCTACACTTATGCTGTACCGCTACTCAGGTGAATTCCCACCTACTGACATACCTGTTTTGTTCTGTCTTTAGACTCAGCAGAGAGGTTGTTGTAGGTGTAGTGGGCCTGGGTGATGCCACAGAACAACACTGCAACAATACCTGCAACAACAAAACAACAATGAGGAAAATTTGTGGACGTTGCAGAAAAAATATTGCAGAATTCCTTCAACTTTATTACAATATTATGCAGAACAAATGTGGAATATACCATCTTAGGAAGATCACATGTGCATCAATGCTCAACAACTCGTTGGCAATTATTGAAAATACTTGCAATAACCTTGATAAGCTTGATGAGGATGCTGAGGAACCATTAGGCACATGAACATGATTCTGGAATACAGTTATAAGCCTTTCCTAGAACCACGTGGACAGACAGATATGGAGAGCTGGGACCTATTCCTCCCTGAAACCTCCATGGGGAGACAGGCATAGAGAGCTGGGACCTATTCCTCCCTGAAACCTCCATGGAGAGACAGGCATGGAGAGCTGGGACCTATTCTTCCCTGAAACCTCCATCGAGAGCTGGGACCTATTCCTCCCTAACACCTCCATGGAGAGACAGGCATGGAGAGCTGGGACCTATTCTTCCCTGGAACCTCAATGGAGAGACAGGCATGGAGAGCTGGGACCTATTCCTCCCTGGAACCTCCATGGAGAGACAGGCATAGAGAGCTGGGACCTATTCTTCCCTGGAACCTCCATGGAGAGACAGGCATAGAGAGCTGGGACCTATTCTTCCCTGACACCTCCATAGAGAGCTGGGACCTATTCCTCCCTGACACCTCCATGGAGAGACAGGCATGGAGAGCTGGGACCTATTCCTCCCTGAAACCTCCATGGAGAGACAGGCATGGAGAGCTGGGACCTATTCCTCCCTGAAACCTCCATGACGAGACAATCATGGAGAGCTGGGACCTATTCTTCCCTGAAACCTCCATGGAGAGACAGGCATGGAGAGCTTGGACCTATTCCTCCCTGACACCTCCTTGGAGAGACAGACATAGAGAGCTGGGACCTATTCTTCCCTGAAACCTCCATGGAGAGACAGACATGGAGAGCTGGGACCTATTCTTCCCTGAAACCTCCATGGAGAGATAGGCATGGAGTATTGGGACCTATTCTTCCCTGACACCACAATGGAGAGACAGGCATGGTGAGCTGGGACCGATTCCTCCCTGACACCTCCATGGAGAGACAGGCATGGAGAGCTGGGACCTATTCCTCCCTGAAACCTCCATGGAGAGACAGGCATGGAGTGCTGGGAGCTATTCCTCCCTGAAACCTCCATGGAGAGACAGGCATGGAGTGCTGGGAGCTATTCCTCCCTGAAACCTCCATGGAGAGACAGGCATGGAGTATTGGGACCTATTCTTCCCTGACACCACAATGGAGAGACAGGCATGGTGAGCTGGGACCTATTCCTCCCTGACACCTCCATGGAGAGACAGGCATGGAGAGCTGGGACCTATTCTTTTCCTGACACCTCCATGGAGAGACAGGCATGGAGAGCGGGGACCTATTCTTCCCTGACACCTCCATGGAGAGACGGACCCAGAGAGCTGGGACCTATTCTTCCCTGAAACCTCCATGGAGAGACAGGCATGGAGAGCTGGGACCTATTCTTCCCTGAAACCTGAATGGAGAGACAGGCATGGAGAGCTGGGACCTATTGTTCCCTGAAACCTCCATGGAGAGACAGGCATGGTGAGCTGGGACCTATTCTTCCCTGAAACCTCCATGGAGAGACAGGCATGGAATACTGGGACCTATTCCTCCCTGACACCTCCATGGAGAGACAGGCATGGAGAGCTGGGACCTATTCCTCCCTGACACCTCCATGGAGAGACGAACCCAGAGAGCTGGGACCTATTCTTCCCTGAAACCTCCATGGAGAGACAGGCATGGAGAGCTGGGACCTATTCCTCCCTGACACCTCCTTGGAGAGACAGGAATGGAGTGCTGGGACCTATTCCTCCCTGACACCTCCATGGAGAGACAGGCATGGAGAGCTGGGACCTATTCCTCCCTGACACCTCCATGGAGAGACAGGCATGGAGAGCTGGGACCTATTCCTCCCTGACACCTCCATGGAGAGACAGGCATGGAGAGCTGGGACCTATTCTTCCCTAAAACCTCCATGGAGAGACAGGCATGGAGAGCTGGGACCTATTCCTCCCTGACACCTCCATGGAGAGACAGGCAGTGTGACCTACCTGTGAGTCCGGCCACCTCCGCTGTCTGGAATGAGCTGTAGGACATGAGGAAGAAGAGTGCCGTCTCCAGCAGCGGGAAGTCTCGGATCTTTGTGTACTTTGTGATCTGCAGTCTGTCAAGGATCTATTTAGTGTCTTTGACAGAATGTCATAGTTGTGTATGTTTGTGAGTGAGAGAAAGGCTCTGTATACTGAATGCCAACAGTATCAGAGCTAAATCACAACTGACTGAGTTAGATGCTATTTGAACAGTACTTCAGTTACATCCCAGCATGTCAGCTTGACGTGGGAGGAAAGCCTGAAGTGATGCAGGTCTGACACATTTAACAGTTTGGTGAAACCCACAAGCAGGACATGGTGGTGACAAACCAAGGAATACCATAATATCAACAAGAAAATAGCATTTTCACTATCCCTGCCATGAGGCACACTAGAAGTTTGTTTGTTCATATAGCAGTGAATATAAAGAAGAGACAGGCACCAGCATGGCTTTATGTCATGAGAAAAAACAGTAAATGTGAAAGGCACCTTCTCTGAAAAAATAATTTATGGCGCCAATTCTCTTAATCAATCTTGATGAGTATCTCTCAGATAAGTTAACTTCAGTAGTTTCTGAAAAAACATTTGCAAACACTATGCACTTTGTAAGAAAATCTAAAAACAAGCAGCAAGGGAAATAACTCTGTAAAAAAATATTTACAGGACCAATTTTCGAAGTATTCAAAAAGTATCTAATATACAGTGATCGCTCGCTATTGCGCTCTTCGATAAAGCGCTACTTCGGTTATTACGCGCGGTAACGCATGGCTCCCAAAATTTATGTACACTTTTAATACTGAGAGTTTTACACAGATATGATTGTATTGTGGTTCGTTGTTTATTTGCACATAACGCTTCTCATTGCATAATCAACGGTTTATCGCTGAATGGAGTTCTAATAATCTGTTTGAAAACATCCGCGGCAGGTCCCGGAAATACGATTGTTCTACTAGTTAACTTTTCACACTATACATCCTTTGATCTTAGAAGCGCATGCATGCAATAAAAGAGAACCACAAGTGAAGTTTATATTCTTAATTAGTGGTCAATCCAATTTAAGGCTAAACTGTCACACACATGTAGTTGCTGTCACAACACGGCGGTCATTCATTTCGTAATCGCGCTTTCGTAACATCGCCTGTTTTTTCCCCGTAGTTATAACAAGCGATTTCATTGGATTAAAATTTGTTTCTAATGACGCTTTCTTGCCGAAATCTGCTACAAGTTTCGTGATTGGTCAATTTTGAGCACGTGACCTCAGGCAGCCAATCAAGCTGTGATACAAAGCTCGTGTTTGATAAATTTCAGAAGTTAGCGAAAGATTTTTTGTTAAATCGTGTTATTCTGAACGTTTTAAGCAGGAAATCACGATATATATTAAAAATATGGAACTTTGCGAATGTATCGTGCTAGGTTACGAGCTGTGACAAAGATTTTTCATGCATATATTTTTGCATTAAACGTTGTGTCCGAGCCGAGAATTCAAGGCGACGAAAGCCGAGATGTCATTTGACTTACATTACACGCGATCGCACGAAACGATGGAAATAATAACTTAGATGTAAGTTTGATTACTTTTAGATATATTTTTGTTGATTTTATTTATCACTTTGTATAATATATTTAAAGATTTGCTTAAAATAGTCTTTATTTTGCACTTTGACATGTTCGATGCGGACCCGTTGTCGAAATGTGTGTCCGAGAATTTTATTTTCAATAACATCGCGGGAAATAGTGAATAATTTTTTAATTTATTGATAAAAAATGATAAATTAGAATGGAATACGTATTTCAGACATTGTGAAATATGACAGATTTAATAAATGAATGATATTACAGGTAGATCTAGGTCCATAAAAATATATACTATTTTGACGTGACGTGAGATAAACACATAGGCCTATTGATGATTTGAGATTTGCCGAGCGCGCTCCCCCGCCTCGGCCTCGGTTAAACGGCTCATCGTCTATAACGCCCACCAATTATTTGGACCCCATTGGTAGCGCAATAGCGAGCGATCACTGTATAAGTAAACCCATGGTAGGGGAAAAAAATAACTAGTCCTGACAAAAAAAAGTAAGTTTCCTGATTATCATTTTAGATAACAAGCTCTTGTGCAAATGCTTCAACAAGGATACCAGTGCTGTCGCACATCCCATGAGAGATCCGATGGCGAAAGCGCCACCAAATATTCCAAGGAAATTGCCAAGAGCTTTGAAGAATGCCTCTGCATTGAACTTTTTCCCTCCTGAGAGCTGTCCATATGTTTCTACAGACCTGAAACAGCACATCATCAAAACACTAAAGAAAATTAAAGAAAAAACCACAAATCATTTGTGCTCAACTTGTGGTAGAAGTTGAAGATAAATAAAGTCGTGCACATCAGTAATCTCATCAAATCATCAAGGCCAATTTAAGATTAGAATTTCTTTATATAATGCCTAAAATTTAAATTGGCCTTTCAGGCAAAACAAAATACTGACTTATAAAAACAACCATTGTGACATATGAGTCAAAGTATGGCACTTATCAGATGTGTACTCATTCCCTGACAACTAAGGTTAGTTTCAAGGTGTCAATAGTGGTAATCTGAGAAAGGTTACGGTGACACATGATTTCACCGAAATTGATATACACATTTTCAAATGCAATTTTGAACCAAAATAATAAAATGGAGGTTTGACTTAAACCCTAAAATACATCTTTTGATACAAAACGGTGTAACAATGGCACTAACAGGCATAGTTTGTAACTGATTTGTTAAATGCAAGATACAAGGAGTAATGTCTGTGTTTGGGAAAATCAATCAAAACTCATTGTCTGCGTGTTTAAAAACACTCAACAGGGTTTTTCTTCTGAAAATACACAATACACAAGAAAATATAATGTATATAATAACTACAGATTTATAAAGCGCTGGTATCCAGTTCGAAGAACTACTCAAAGTCTATACATGACAGTTATCGTCCATTTTCCCACTCATCACAAAGCGACAATGTGATGTCCTTACCCTGATAAAACTATAGCCACTGCATCGTTGAAGACACTTTCTCCAAATACAATTGCGTAAAGATCCACGTCGACATGGAGGTCGTGAAATAGAGCCAATACTGTCACTGAAACAGTTCAAAGGCGGGTCAAACAATGTCAAGGCACATCTGATAAAAACAGTTGTATCCCTATCCCCCACCATGGCCAATACTGTCACTGAAACAGTTCACAGGCTAGTCAAACAATGTCAAGGCAAATCTGATAAAAACAGTTGTATCCCTATCCCCCACCATGGCCAATACTGTCACTGAAACAGTTCACAGGCTAGTCAAACAATGTCAAGGCACATCTGATAAAAACAGTTGTATCCCTATCCCCCACCATGGCCAATACTGTCACTGAAACAGTTCACAGGCTAGTCAAACAATGTCAAGGCACATCTGATAAAAACAGTTGTATCCCTATCCCCCACCATGGCCAATACTGTCACTGAAACAGTTCACAGGCTAGTCAAACAATGTCAAGGCACATCTGATAAAAACAGTTGTATCCCTATCCCCCACCATGGCCAATACTGTCACTGAAACAGTTCACAGGCTAGTCAAACAATGTCAAGGCAAATCTGATAAAAACAGTTGTATCCCTATCCCCCACCATGGCCAATACTGTCACTGAAACAGTTCACAGGCTAGTCAAACAATGTCAAGGCACATCTGATAAAAACAGTTGTATCCCTATCCCCCACCATGGCCAATACTGTCACTGAAACAGTTCACAGGCTAGTCAAACAATGTCAAGGCACATCTGATAAAAACAGTTGTATCCCTATCCCCCACCATGGCCAATACTGTCACTGAAACAGTTCACAGGCTAGTCAAACAATGTCAAGGCACATCTGATAAAAACAGTTGTATCCCTATCCCCCACCATGGCCAATACTGTCACTGAAACAGTTCACAGGCTAGTCAAACAATGTCAAGGCACATCTGATAAAAACAGTTGTATCCCTATCCCCCACCATGGGACACATTAGAATTTTGTTTGTTTATACAGTAGTGAATAAAAACTGTAGAAAACAGTCCTATAAAGCCTGAAGAAGAGATAGGAACTTTACCCGCTTCATGTCATCAGAAAAAATGATTAAAAGTGAAATTAATACACACAATAGGATCCCTCTCTGGAAGACAATAACTCCATCTTCATAAGTATCTCTTAAATAAGCTAACTTAAGTAGTTTCTGAAAAAACTTGTCCCCCTTTCACACAGTTTGTACTGAGTTGAAAAGCATGGAGCAAGGGCCATAACTCCGTAAAAAATGAATGTCGACACCAATTTGCGAACACATTTGAGATCGTGACAAGTCAGATCAGTGCGAAAAAATGAATCTTTCTAAGTTGAATAGTTTTTGGGAAATTTTTTCCACATTGAGAAGTGGACTGAAGGACGGACGGACAATGTTCCTGTATCCCCAGCCCCCAAAATTGACTTCTTGTTACACAAAGAAAAAGTCAGACCAGAGGTTGTTATTTTGCATAAATATCGATGGTGGAGGGAGGCACTTATTGTTGGCACAGGTCCTGACCAAAATGGGTATCAATATGGTACCTACCCCTCTGACAAGGCTAGTAGGCTACTCCCCAACCCAGGTCACCTACCCCTCAGACAAGGCTTCTCCCCAACCCAGGTCACCTACCCCACAGACAAGGCTTCTCCCCAACCCAGGTCACCTACCCCTCTGACAAGGCTACTCCCCAACCCAGGTCACCTACCCCTCTGACAAGGCTTCTCCCCAACCCAGGTCACCTACCCCACAGACAAGGCTACTCCCCAACCTGGGTCACCTAACCCACAGACAAGGCTACTCCCCAACCCGGGTCACTTACCCCTCACACAAGGCTACTCCCCAACCTGGGTCACCTAACCCACAGACAAGGCTTCTCCCCAACCCGGGTCACCTACCCCCCAGTTAAGGCTTCTCCCCAACCCAGGTCACCTACCCCACAGACAAGGGTTCTCCCCAACCCAGGTCACCTACCCCTCAGTTAAGGCTTCTCCCCAAACTTGGTCACCTACCCCTCAGTTAAGGCTTCTCCCCAACCCCGGTCACCTACCCCACAGACAAGACTACTCCCAAACCCAGGTCACCTACCCCTCAGACAAGGCTACTCCCCAACCCCGGTCACCTACCCCACAGACAAGGCTACTCCCCAACCCAGGTCACCTACCCCTCAGTTAAGGCTTCTCCCCAACCCCGGTCACCTACCCCACAGACAAGACTACTCCCAAACCCAGGTCACCTACCCCTCAGACAAGGCTACTCCCCAACCCCGGTCACCTACCCCACAGACAAGGCTACTCCCCAACCCCGGTCACCTACCCCACAGACAAGGTTACTCCCCAACCCCGGTCACCTACCCAACAGACATGGCTACTCCCCAACCAAGGTCACCTACCCCACAGACATGGCTACTCCTCAATCCGGGTCACCTACCTCACAGACATGGCTACTCCCCAACCCGGGTCACCTACCCAACAGACAAGGCTTCTCCCCAACCTGGGTCACCTACCCCTCAGACAAGGCTACTCCCCAACCCCAGTCACCTACCCCACAGACAAGGCTACTCCCCAACCCGGGTCACCTACCCCACAGACAAGGCTTCTCCCCAACCCAGGTCACCTACCCCACAGACAAGGCTACTCCCCAACCCGGGTCACCTACCCCACAGACAAGGCTTCTCCCCAACCCAGGTCACCTACCCCACAGACAAGGCTACTCCCCAACCCGGGTCACCTACCCCACAGACAAGGCTACTCCCCAACCCGGGTCACCTACCCCACAGACAAGGCTTCTCCCCAACCTGGGTCACCTACCCCTCTGACAAGGCTTCTCCCCAACCCGGGTCACCTACCCCACAGACAAGGCTACTCCCCAACCCGGGTCACCTACCCCTCTGACAAGGCTACTCCCCAACCCGGGTCACCTACCCCACAGACAAGGCTACTCCCCAACCCCGGTCACCTACCCCACAGACAAGGCTACTCCCCAACCCCGGTCACCTACCCAACAGACAAGGCTACTCCCCAACCTGGGTCACCTACCCCACAGACAAGGCTACCCCTTACACCTGGGTCACATACCTGGATCTGTGGCGGAGATGATGGCTCCAAAGAAGAAGCAGTCATTGAGTGTGAACTCTGTGTAGGACATGAGCCGGGTCAGCCCGAACATGGTCCCCCTGCCAACACAACCACCGAGATTACAGCATGCAGTCTCAAGCTATTCAAGCATTGACTTGCTCTGAAAAATACCTGCATAGATTCCACAAACATGGTGTCAGAATTTAAAAAAAATTGTTGTTCAATCCTATGAAGACCTCTTTGTTTGTTTGTTGTTTAACACCAAACTCTGCAATATTCCGTATGACTGACGTCGCAGACATACAAACCAGGGATTGAAATTATTGAAATGATTTAAAAAAAAAAGATTTTGGCTGTTTAACGCTGCACTCAGCAATATTCCAGCTGTATGACATGTCAGTGAATTAAAGTTCAGTGGGTTCATCTAGCAATAGGTGACACACTACTTACCCTACAGCCAGACAGGATATTGTTGTGCCGATAAAAGCAAACATTATGATCGCACCAAGATTCTTGAAGAAATGACGCTGAAAGACAAAACATTTCAATGCATTCTCCATTGATGATACATGTTAATCATTATTGCATCAATTGCCTGAAATGATCTTCAGTCATCTACTTTTTCAGCTCAACTTCAAGACAAGTATTTGATTATAAACTAGGGCTGTTACAATTCACTTGCGTACTCGGTGAATCAAACCGCATCCATTCGTGACTTGAATTCATAAAACGTGGCCACTGGAATCGAATATTTATGAAAATGCAATGATGTACATTTACATACCCGGTACCTAAAAATATCCATAAGAACATATCATATGCATAGATTTCTTCAAAAACAAATCTCTTATAATATTTAATTTGACAGTATTGAGGTCACTGGTCATTGTCGCATTTGAGCAGATACTAGAACCTGGATAAGTGCAATACATAAATGTGTAATACATTAATAATTAACAAACCATGTCAAATAATTTATGCTATTGTTTCCCTGAATATAACAAATAATACATCAACTGCTGACTTGTTATTGTATTCGTGAATTAATAATCATATTCGTTACCCTATATTCGTGATACAAATCGTCTTTGCCTCATAGTGTGTTCGTTGCAGCCCTTTAAACACTACACAACATTTCCCAAGGACCAATACATATTTAGTCAAAGGTCCGATCTTCAGCGAATGTCAGTATGTTTGACAGGAGATTTCAGTGAAGAATAACCAATGCTGGAGAGAGTTTGGTTTAACCCCCCATGAAGGGTATTTCAATTATTTCACCGCATGTCAGCTTAACATAGTGAGTGAGTGTGTAAGAATGCTTTTAGCAATATTCCAGCAATACCATGGCTGGGGACACCAGAAATGGGCTCCAACACATTGAGGATGGGATAAGCTTTCGGTTCAAAGGAGTAATAATGAAAATGATAACAATCATCACCACACTGACAAGGGAGCATGGGTGGCCCAGTCGTCTAAGGCGCCGCGATTCGCTGTGCAGAGTTGCGTCCCTTGGGCACGCCAGAAACCTATGATTGTGGGTTTGAATCCCGGTTCGCCTCGATTATGTTTCTAGGTTTGTCAGCACCATACCCATGCTCGTGAGTTTCACCGAAGAGGTAAACGTCTGAGACCTGCATCACTTCGGGCTTTCCTCCTACATTAAGCTGACACGGCGTGATATGACTGGAATACTGTTAAAAGTGGTGTTAAACCCAACTCACTCACACTGACAGAGTGTGTGCTACTTACTCTCTTCATACTGTATCCAGCCTCGAAAATAATCAGGGGCAGCATCACATTGAAGAACAGCTCGGGTTCAAAGGTTACCTGTTGAAAGGATGCAGGGTCAATAAATATATCATACAGTGAAATAACATGGTTTACTCACAGAAAGCCGTGTACTCAGCTACCCCAGGTAAACTTGGTTCAGTTTATGTATACAGTGTTCTGCGATCCTGATGGTGGGGACAGTGACCCCTTCAGCATAAAACATGGGGTCATTTTCAAAACGTATTGGGCCACATATCATAAAAAAAACCTGATGCACAGGTTACTGTTGCAGAATCCACGTCCACAGGTAACATTAGCAATGCAAAGAATGTTTCCCATGGCTTCTTCCTCAAGTCAACACACTTACAGCTTTCTCCAGCATGGGTTCTGGCTTCGCAGATCCATCGCTGGTCAGGTTGTACTTGAACGTCTCGTTGGCGGTGGCGTTCTTGCTGTCCGGGAGGCTGATGTACAGCGAGGGTGGGGCGTTCCCCGAGTAGAACGTCTGGTTGTTGGACTCGGACAGCACGGCCCAAACTTTGGAATCATCGGGGGTAACCGGAGGCGTGGGGGTGGCATAGATGAACTTAATGATCACACCAACAATCAGTCCTGTAACCATAGTAACAAAAATAAATCATTCTAAAGCAGTTAAATGGGCTGAACTTGGTCTATAGTGTATGTTATTGTGTAATTCACATTGGTAACACCCACTAGGGGTGACTATTGGTCTGGAAATCACTATTGCGATAACTATTGATATTGAAAGAAACTATTGCGATAACTATTGATATTGCAAGCTACTATTGCGATAAATATCAATAGTTTTCAGTGTATCATTTTAGATGGATTTTAGAGTTGAATTAAACCTTGGAACTGAAGTTTCCTTTGAATGTGATAACCATAACAACAAATAAAAAGTAAATTTTGAGATATGACTGTTTTGTTTTTTTCTTTACCCTAATATTTAAAAAAAAGAAACTTCCACATTACCATGTGTAAATTCTTACCACTCATGATAAAAAAAAACGAATTTGAACAGCATTTGACTCAATCATATGATATGGTAAATACAATCGAAACTATTAATATTCCTAACTGAAATCGATATTATTGATCGGAAACTGATTTAACAATCGATTTATTGACCTTAAGTGCTCACCAATAACAATATGTTGATATTTGGATTATCGTGACACCCCTAACACACACTAGCAGGAAGACATGAGCAGGCAGGTCAGTGAGCAAGTTATATAGTATGTCTCAAGTCATGGGACAAATACCGTAATAGACATAAAAGGTGTAAGGGTATCAACTTGAAATGGAAAGAAGTGCACTTAATATTTCTCAAAACAAAACGGTACAGCAAGAGAATTAATATATATCACACTGGACAAATTGAATTGCATTACTCTGGTGAATGGTATATACAACATCAGATATATATCGTTAGGCTAAAAAAAATAATAGTCTTGGTTCTTGGGCACCGCCCACTTCATCATAAAGTCCGCCGCACGTTTCGTTTTTATTTCCAAAAAAAAATGTCTCCAAATATTCTGTGTCTTGAACACACGACCCTGGCAGTGATAGGCTAACAGTATTTGAAGAACATGATTTTGCCAAAAATACTGAAAACAAAATTTGGTTACATATTAGCTTAAACAACCCCAATAAAAGCACCACCGGCCTGCACTATATTTTCAAAAGCCATTTACTTACAAAATATTATATTGCTATTTTGCTCATCAATCACATCAAGGAAGCAAACACATATCCCTGGCCAGGGCACTATGTGGGCATTCTGATAATGAGAGGTCTCCAGCTACCTGTGCGCAGTGTAAGAGTCAACTTAATGGATCCAAATGGTCATATTTAAGGACTTGAGAGCGTGTCTTTAAAACCCTTGGGAAAAGGAAGGTACTCATAACATCCATCACTGGTTTATCTGCCCCAGACTTGTTTACTTACATATCTCAATCATACACCAGTAGCTGGAATATGCTGAGTGTGTCATAAAACAACAATCACGTCTCTTGTCTCATGTTCCTGCCGACTATGCAAACATTGTAACATGTGTCTAGTTTAATCATGGAAAACTAGTCATTTAGATATGTTAGAGTTTGCATTGAAGCTGTATTGAATTGTACTGACACAATAACTACAATACACCCTACCCACTGTATAGAGTTACATCCCTGAATACTGCCTATCGACAGCATGGCTTCAGGTTTCATCCGCCTAACCAACTGAATGGGATCCCTACTGAACAGGCATCATATTAGGGAGCAAAGATTTACTTACAGTGTTGGTTAAATGAATACTAATGTAACATGGATCGAAAATCTACTGAAGCACGTCACGATTCCAGTTAATGTGGATACTGGTTTGCCATGGTACAGTCACAATAAAGCTCTGTCATAAGGACAACATGAATCATATTGATCCTATGATTCTTTGGGGAGAATACATTGTTATCAGTGAGTGAGTATGGTTTTACACCGCTTTTAGCAATATTCCAGCAATATCACGGCGGGGGACACCATGAATGGGCTTCTCACATTGTACCCATGTCGGGAATCGAACCCAGGTCTTTGGCGTGACAAGCGAACACTTTAACCACTAGGTGCGCTGTAATGTCACTGGTCTACAGATGACAGGGTATAAACCTAGGGATTTATCTGAGATTCCATTCTACAAGTAAAAATGCCCTTGGTTGACAAACTGAGAAGAAAGTAAACATTTTGCCCAATGCTGGGATTATTTATAAAGTTATGAGTTTCGTAATTTCAGAGGTATTTTAACATTTTATTGTGCATTTCTTTCAATGCAAATAATCTAACAATAAGCGTTGAAGCCACTTCCTCCTACAGTTTACTGGCCACTTTGTCAATGAAGTACAAGTCTCTAAAAGTCCATTACGTTAGTTATAGCTATTAAAATATGAATTGGGAAGGTTAATATTTCCAATTTAGGACATTTTACAGACATGTGCTGCAAACTTGGTGTCAATTATCAGCCTCTGGGGAGGCCAAGCACTTCTGTCCCATGTTTCTTCAGTGTGCGAATGTCTGTAGTTTTTCAACCAGGAATCCAGTGACTGGAGTTTCCCTGTGGGATGTCTAGCTACTAATCGCAGGGATTTATCTAGACCTGCTCAGATGCCAAGTCTGCAGCAAATAACAGTAAAAATTCCCAATTTGAATTAAAAATTTCCTGATTCCTTAGAATTTACAGAAATAAAAACGTTGAAATAATCAAAATTTCAAAATTCTGTCCCAATTTGCAAGCTGAGGGCACTTGGGGAAAAAGTTTGGAACCTGAGATAAATCTCTGGACCACCAAGACTAGCGGCATAAGAAAAATATGACACATTATTCAGTTTTATTAGCTTCACATTTAATATCAACTGCTTCTTTTCACAATTTGCATACTTTTCAAAAAGAGTACTGTTTTCCCCACAAAGTATCAGACAGTCACCATGCTCTCAGATCACCTCACCCATGGCCCTGTCTGGTGTCATATATTGTGATCACATACTGTAGGGACTATAACAGTGTCATATCAGGAAGTAATACCTCAATATGAAACTCTAATGTAAGGGTTAAGCCATTTTTCTGGGCATTATCATTTTGCAGGAGCCCGCGGTCTTCCATCAACTGCCCGATGAGGAGGGCAATTGAAAAGACCAAGGGCTTCTGCAAATGATAATGCGTGACCGTTATTATAGCTGAAATGGAGGGAATTTGTTATCAAATAAAAAGAAACAACAATATCAGTTTTGAAACATTTACTGCAATCAACACGAATGTCACTGACCCACTTTTACAAATATGAAAACGTCATAGAACAAACCAGATGACATCACCATTGAACGTGACGTCACCTATCCCTATCCTATGACGTCACCTAACAACGGGCTTGACACTGGCCCGTTGTCAAGCAATATGAGGGCATTATCAAGTTACAGTGGCCCTCTCATTTCTGATAATATGCGGGCGGTTTAATGATAATTCTATCCATTTTAGCTATAATAACATGTATAATGAAATGGACATAAATCGTAAAATAATATTTTCGGCTTGTATGTAAACGAGGTTTCATGCCACTATTTTTAGTAACTGACTCGATTTACAATATATGTTTTGGTTGGACAATATATTTGCTTTGATGAGCAGAATGGTTCCTCACATGTGAAATGTTTATGCATCATACTGTGTCTTGTATTGTGACCTTACCAACATGACATGTATGTTTGTTTTTTAACGCTGCACTAAGCAATATTCCAGCTATATGACTGACAACATGGGCATCGATCCACGCAATTGGGATATGATGACACACATCAACCAAGTCAGCGAGAAGATCCAAGGTAGATAAGGTCTTCAGCAACCCATGCTTGCCGTAAAAGGCGACTAAGCTTGTCATAAGAGGCGACTAACGGGATCGGGTGGTCAGGCTCGCTTGACTTGGTTGATGCATGTCATCGATCCCAATTATGTGGAATCACTTGATTGTCTGGTCCAGACTCGATTATTTACAGACCGCCGTCATATAGCTGGAATATTGCTGTGGGCGAACAAACAAACAAACCCATAAGGTCCCTTTTCTGCTCGTGGGTCACTGTGACACATTTCTATCAGTGAGTGGAAATGTCTTATTCTTGAAAGTTTGCACACCCACATTACTTGTTAGGCTTGTGCTGAAAAATACAAGTCATTTTCCCTTTTTGTGACCCAAGGGATTCTGGGAAAAAGTAGAGGTCCCCAGCAATCTGTGCTTGTCGTAAGGGCTGACTAAATAAATTGTGTGGTTAGGATAAGTGACTTGGTTGATTGCATGTTATCGTATCCCAATGAGTGAATCAATACTCATGCAATGATGGCCTGTAAATAACCAAACTATTAATCTCAGCGAGTAATGTTATTACTGGCATGTGAAATTATTGGTTAAGTAACCATGGTAACATTACCTTACTGAAATGAATGTAAAATTGATGTTTATGACATGACTACTGATGTGTTCTCCTTTACAACCACCTGAGAAGATGAAAAGAATTATGAAAATAACATGGTAAACATCTAATCTTAAATGACCTCTTTGGTTCATTACGACATTATGCCTGTAAATGAAGTAACTGTGACAACCGGATACCTTATTTCATTCATTAATCAATTAATCACTGTCAGCAGATTAGTATGTCATTTCATGGGGCTACGGTTCAACCCATTATAAAAGCCTGCCACCCTATGTCATACGATCTACAGTATACTTCATCCTCTCATTGCGAAACTGATACCTTGTTTGTCAAGGAAATATAATGCAAAGTACACCTTATATTCAGAATTTGAAAGTGAGGGATGGGTACTTATGTTCTTTAAATATATGTTGTACGTAATGGGATCTGTAACGACTGTAGCATAAAGCTGCTGTTTCAACGGGGTTTGTCAGTTTTGTCATATCAGCTGTTGTGTGAGTGGTATTGTGGTATTGTGACACAGCGTGCAACCACAGCTCGTAACAAATGTGAAAAGATAAACATTGAAATAATACATTCAACGACCTGACCACCACAAACAGATACATTGTGCATCATACAAACCTACCATATATCATTGAAAGTCCCGTTTCGTGAACAAAACGAAATCGTCGATGCTTGAATAGCCAGACTGTCAAAATTGTCAACATGAGAAGTCCTAGCAACATCAAAATCGTAAGACTGTCTGTCGTGTGTTGCAACGCCACGGTCTTTTCTTTTTGTATATTAGATGCTGCCGGCGATATAGTTGCAGATTGAGCCGCCATCGCAGAAGATATGCAACAACACGCAGTCACAAACACAGCGATCACTCCACCGGCCGCCATGCTGAATTCACTCCCACTTCGCTACTTCCGGTTATAACGCAATGACCTAAAGTAATATTTTTTGACTCGTCAACACAAGATAGTGACTCGAAAGCTATTATCAGTTTGAGTCAGTATGTTTATATATTCGTTTAAAAGAGATGCGTATGGTTTGGTTGTTTTTAGGGGCAATAACAGAGAATGGGAGTACATTTGCCATTTGGATTTCGATGACGTGGAATAATTCGGTGCCAGGCGTGTCGTGAGCCTGACACGCAATGTCCATAGCTGCACACAGCAGGAGTAGAATACGGATTGATGTACGTTATTGACCAGAACAATTCAATTAGTGACATTTATATTCTGGAACGTTCGGCGCTTGTCCATGACAAAGAATGATAATGGCGGTGGCCATGCTGCCCAAACAACGCCCATAGATCTATAAATAAGAAAATATCCTGGGCCGTTGCAATTTGGTTATTTAATTATTCCTCTTCGTCGACGCCTCGATATTTTCTTTTGTTTTATAAACATACATTTTTTAAAGTAAGGAACAGTTGGCTACATTTAGCTTTGCAGAGCTGCTCCCCTTATCACCACCAGGATCCGCTGTTCATGGATACGATTAACTGCTAGTGGTGGTTCCCTGGTTTGCCAGCACTATATATATATATATATATATATATATATATATATATATATATATATACGCGTGTTCATTAGTCTCTTTTACAATTCAATCTTTGAATCACGTCGTGATCTAGTGAGTAATTGAGTATGGTTTTAAGACGCTGTTAGCAATATTCCAGCCACATCCATGCAGGCGGGCGACACCAGTAATAGGTTTCACAAATTGTGCCCATTGTTTAAATCTGGTCAAACCAAACTCACACATCATTTCATCATTGTCCATTTCTCCACGGCCCAAATCTAACAAGCTTTTAAAAACGAGTGTGGCCAAAATGAAATATCTACTTAAATTCAGGATATACACACCGGAATGACCATTTACAACTATCTCGAATCAATGGTAAAGCTATTTGTGACGAATTACGTCTTTGAGGGGCAGTTAGAAGTTGGAGTACTAAGGATAAGATATATCATCATTTAAAACCTACACCGAAACGTCGCTCCTAATTGTAATATAGATGTTCATCCATATATCCTACCCTTACTTATTTTTGGACTATATTGATAAGCTGGTGATATGTAACATCTACAACGAGAAAATATTCCTATTTTTCAATCATCTAGCTAACAGTGAAGTCCCGAGTTGTTGTTTTTTAATAGCATATGATGTCTCGTAGCGGTGACAGTTCAAATAAATAAAGGTCCCTGTAAATAGAATAACGTTACTGTAACAGCCACACGGGACGGGCACCTGGTCGAGTGTCGGAATTGTGACGTCATAATGTGACGTAATTGTCAATTGATATTATCCATCACACTCCGTCGCAGTGGTGACTCAGCATAACACCACTGCCACAGGCTAATTTGCATATCACGTGACCGGACTTTTCTCTTGTTTGTAAACAAACGCGCGCTTTCAGAAATCAGTATAGAACGGACTAATGCAAGTATTTGGGGGCGCTTTACATATTGTTTTGCATAACTATATAGATATGCTACTACAACTGCGACAGTGAGTTGCATGACAATATATATTTATGCATCAAAGTGACCGTGTCGCTAGCTCTCCGTTGGGCTTCGATGACAGCACGTGGAGCCGTACAACCAATGTAAACATAGGATAACTACGCAAAAACAAGTAGATTTTTACGTATTTGCATACTTTCTCAATGAAAGTTAACCATTCTTTGACATTTGTTTATGAAAATGTGTAGACTTGTAAAACATGAAACGGATGAAAAGCATATGCAATATCTTGAATGGACTGTGAAAGATGTGACGAATCGTCACATGGCGCTGGCCTGTGGCAGAGGTACTATGCTAGCTGGCTGCCGGCCGCATGGAACTCTGGGTAGGAGAGTGATTATCCATCTCCCCGTTAGGTCTCCTTTCACAGAATTTAATATCAAGACGTCCACCAACTCCGTAAAATAGCAAAGAAAGACATTTATTTGTATGTCCGTCTATCTTAAACGTGTAATTTAGAAAGTTTGTGACACGTTAATTAAAAAGTGCATTGGTTAGGATTTTCTGACAATGTGTTGATATCGCCCGGTTTCAATTGAGGCAATATTAGTGAACAATGGTGAAGTGAAACCAACTTGTAAGATTTCTTCTACACGATGGCACTCCTCTGTTCTTCAGAGTTCTAAGAAGTGGTGGATTATGGAATACCACATACCAGATTTTCTGATCGTCGTTCCCCGTGAAGATCCGGGGTAGAATAGGTCTTCAGCAACCCATGCTTGCCGTAAAAGGCGACTATGCTTGTCGTAAGAGGCGACTAACGGGAAAGGGTGGTGAGGCTCGCTGACTTGGTTGATGCATGTCTTCGTATCCTAATCGCGTAGATCAATGGTCATGATGTTAATCACTGGATTGTCTGGACCAGACTTATTATCTACAGACCGCCGTCATATAGCTGGAATATTGGTCATTGCGGCGTTAAACATCAAACAAACAAATCTGATTGTCGTATATTACTTACTCGGGGTAAAGTTTGTTGTTTAACGCGAACAATAATCCAGCCATATGGTTTCTCACCAAGCGTGATGTTTTATGGAAAGTCAGGCTTTGAGACAGTAAGGATACGATATATGGATGAACAACTTCTTTATTGCAATTATAGGAAAGACGTTTCGGGTAAGTGTCTAACTACGTTATCAAGCAAGTGTTACAACCTACATCAAAACGTCGCTCCTATTTGTAATAAAGAAGTTGTTCATCCATATATCTTATCCTCACCTAGTATTCCAACTTCCAAATGCCTCTCAAAGACGTCAAGGCTTTGAGTGTTGATGTGGGATTCTACTTCGTGTATGTATTACCGGTCTAACAGCACAACAGATGAGTGAGACACTTTACTTTTTCCACGTAGACAATTTAAATATACTATAGGATACCAAGGTCACAGACAGTGATGACTATGAAAGACAAAATGGATGAATTATGTTCCAGTTTTCAATGGTAGCGGCTCTACTTCTGAGATCAAATCGCCCTCTACCAGAGTTGACTGCATAGGAATTATATGTATAGGTATGGCCTAATTTATGTATTTTTCACCCGTTTATCCATCAGTGCTAATTACCCCCGGCCTCCCGTATGCCCAATGCCCATTGCAATTTACCTTTCAGTGATAATTTAGTCCTGGCTTCCAGTTGTCCATAACTATCAGCGCTAATTACTGTAAAGTGTTGGCTTCCATTGTCTATAGCTCATCGCCTATCAGCGCCAATTATCTGTTGGCTTCCCTCGTTAGGTTTCACCTCTTGTTATCTTATTACAAGTGTTGTTCTTACATGTACATACATATGTTCTCTGCCTCATAGCATTCATTTACCTGATGTAGGAGTAAGCACATACTCCCAAATGTTGTGTTCCTCAAAATAAAGAAGTTGACCTCCATAGATTCTCTTGCTTATAGAGAGAAATGTTTTAACAAAGGTGCCACTTGTGTCCAGATCATTTACATACATTACTTCAGGATAAGCTTGGTATCGAGATAACATTTTGCAGACCTCTTCCTCAAATAATCTTAACATCATTCGCAGAAACAATCTGGAACCTGCCCAGGGATGCATGTGTCACATCACGGACAGTTTCTGGGCATGGAAAGGAAATATAATACACCAGCTGCTCGAGGAGAAAAGCGCTCGTAAAATCAGCTCATTTTGACCGTATTTTGTATGTACAGTTCGACAGGACTGAGGGGATTTTAAGGCCCCTGCCATTATTTCTGATACATATCGAGTGTGTGCGAAACTGAAACGTGTTATTTCTGAAAGCTGCCAGAGCTTAAAGACACACTCAGCAATACTCCAGCTATTAACTGATGATGGCGTCTGTAAATAATCAGACCAGACATTCCAGTGGTTGATATCTAGACATGTCCAATGACACACTCTTAACCAAGTTAAAAAGCCTGACCACCCGATCCTTTTAGTCGCCCCAGACGACAAACATTTGTTGCGGGGACTAATTCCAACCCCGAATCTCCACGGGATCAAGGGCCAGAGTGACCACGGCTAGAAACCATTAATGCACGTTCTATTGTAAGACTGGATGAAGACAATAATATAATATTTACAATTATAGTGTTTTTTGTCCAGTGTGTTGAGAAGATCAGCAACCATGCAGGGTTATTCAATTGGATGAAGTCGGCTGCCTGAAAAGTGAAACGGAAGGCTTTCCGTTGCTGCTCTGGATCAGACAATTCTGCGATTAACATCATGGGCATCGATCCACGCAATTGGGATACGTAGTAGTAGTAGTAGTAGTAGTAGTAGTAGTAGTAGTAGTAGTAGTAGTAGAAGACACCATACAGAGTAGACCTGCTATCTTCGTATAAAGATCAGGACCAATGGTGGTGGGTGGAGTTCAGTGACAGGATCCGCTCGTTGGTTCGAATCCCCTGTTTCTCTCAATAACATTCCTTGTTCTTTCAGCATAATACCCGTGATCGTGTATTCCACCAAAAGAACTGTTTACAACCTACGCCACTTGCCTTTCCCTCCAAACCAGGCTGACACGCCGTGTATTACTGAAATGCTGTACTGAGCGGCATTAAACCCATCTCACTAGTTGACACACTATCAACCAAATCACCGAACCTGACCACCCAATCCATTTAGTCGCCTCAAACGACAATACTATAGGTGATCTATTCTAACCCGAATCCAAATGGGGTTACACGGCGTTCATTGTAAACATGTGAACAGATAGATCCTTCACTATCCGGGAACTACTCAACTTGTTCACAAACACTATGTCCGACCCGTACACAAATTGACTGACCCGTTCACCCTGACCACGACGCTAATCAAGAATAACGACGTAAATTGTGACCGGGGAAGCCAATATATTTAGTGAACGAGTTTCCGTGTTTTGTTTGATTTATTTGTTTGTTGTT